TTGTTGGAGGGTCATGCTTTTAGAAGTCATTAAATATCAAAGGTTACAGGCTAGTCACATTATCCAGAAATAAGCCTTTTGATGTTCAGGAGACTTTTGAATGGCATATATAGTATTATTTTAATGCCCCCAAACTAGCCAGTTGTAAGGAGATGACCAGGCTGAGCTCAAGGCCTGGGTCAAGTACATTGTCAGTCTGGAGTCACCCTCAAAAGACACCCGAGTTCCCCCCCCCAAAGTCCATTGACTCTTATCTGGCACCAATTTGCCTTGGCCATTATATATAGGTTGCCTAGAATAAACTCTCAATGTTTTCTGAACTCTGTCTTGGCTTCTGGCCACCACCAATCAGGTTTGAAATCAGCTTTTTTTAAAAAAAAAATAATTCTTCATTCGAGAAATTGTTGTATTGTTTTAACCAATTAACACACAAAAACCATTTCCAGTAAGGGATATATAAATGACTTTAAATTAGTGATATAGCTTTAAGGAGATAAAATGGACAGCAATCCGTCTAGTTCAGGGGTGTCAAACTGGCGGTCTGCGGCCGAATGTGTCATGTGCAGTCCACGCCCACCACAGCTCCGCGAAGGGGAAAAACATCATGAAACATCACCTGACAGCAACATGAAGCCGCAAGTTTGACACCTGTGGTCTAGCTGAACAAAGTATCTGACAATCATCTGTCTGTGTTTTTGTGCCTGCCTTTTCTCCTCCAATATTTTTAAAACTACAGAAGAAAAGCATTTATTTCTAGCATGATATCCCAAAGGCTGAATAATTCTCTTTCTTTGCATAACACGGCAGACTATTAATAGTGCAGTATAAAGTTTGTATATGCTCTCATATATGAGAGCGAATTTGCAATTAGTTTTCTCCTTACTTCGCTCTGTGTTTAACACCAGATATCCTCTTTTTTTAAAATTTCAGTTTCAGTTGGTGTTCGATGGATGATAGGAGTAACAGAAATTAACAAAGGCTCAACTTACGGCAACCATGGACACAAGGAAAAGCAAAAGTGAAATCTCCAGAGACTGCTTCATACCCAAAGGGAACAAGCTTGTGAACTGCTGTGCACATCTGTCTTCAATCATGAAGACCAGGAATCTGTAGAAAGAGCTCATGCCTTCACTGAAGTCACATCTCTTCTCTATCCATCCATCTCCTCCCCTGCTCCAGCTGGCAACAAGAGTCAATATTCTGCAATTTATTTTATTTTTTTCTATACTTTGTTTTTATTCAGATTTTCCAGACAAACAATTCTTTTTTTTAAATTAAGGAAGAGAAAATATGCAGACATAGTATAGGAAGGAAGCAAATGAATGAATTAATATTCTTTTTTTTCTGAATAAATCTTTAATGGATTAAAATATGAAATAAAATTTACTTTCCTATAAGATGACCAAAGTGAGTATTTTATATATTTAACTAAGAAAGTAAGAACTATTTTACTTTGTTCTTTCTAGTCTGGTGGCCTATTTCCCAATTGTCTCCAATAAGCTGCCTCTGGAAAGCCCAGAGGCTTGTTATGAAGTCTGTATTCCAAATGCATTTTAATTTGTTTAGTTTCACTTCGAATCTCTTTATTGTTGTGGAAGTAATTGTTTTAACCAGTGAGTGATTCTTGAGTAGTACTTTAACTGAGCTACTTAGCACTATCCAAATATTTATCCTCTGGCCAGCCTGATAAAAATAAGACTACTTTCCTCCTAACGTTTGTTTTCAGTTTGCCAAGACACTTTACCAGTTTGTTTTCAATTCACTTCAGATGGTGAAGTGAATGTATTTCTCTTTTATTTTGCAATCCCATTTTTTTATTTGCATTTGTTAATTCCTTTGCAGACTTGGCTCCAAGAATTCATTCTCAACCCTTTATTATATTCGGAAAGGTTTAACATTTCCAGTCATAATTACATATCCTAAAGAAATCTATTCTTGCGGTCTTCTACTGTATTACTTTTTACGATTTTACTTTTTTTTGCTTTTTGTTCTTTAATCATTATGAATCTATAAGAGACTGCCTTTTTAATCTCAAGTTTTTAGTGAAGGTAAAAGCTGTTTGAAAGTCCATTTATAGAAATATCCAACACCATGCAGTTATTCATACATCAACTTTCCCAAGGAACTCAAAAGCATTAGTGAGAGAAGTTATTTCTATAGAAATTCTTATTCACTGAAATTTATTTTCTATATGCACAGTATTACCTTTAATACTACTTTCCAAATTAGACAGTAAAATATGTAGCCTGTCTTTTCTAAAATAATTTCAATATTAAATACAGGTGTTACATTGGTTGTATTCCTAGTATATAGATATTATGAAAATTATATTAGAATATTGATAATATTTATCTCAGCTTGGATAGTACTCTGGCCCCTTTGATATATAGATCTGCACGGCTGCTATTATGTCTCCCTGTGGAGTTTATCATATTCTAATATATTACACCAGACTCTAATGTAGATTGTTTGATTTAGACCAAATAAATTTGCAAACCTGCTATTTGCATTTGTAAACAAAAGTTTATAGTTCTGTGGCTTATGTAACAAACCAACTTTTATACTACAATGGTTTGTTTAGCATTCTAAAATCCTTTTTTTGAGGTAGACTGTTTTTAGTAGTTATGTCCCAACCATTTAAAAATACTCTGTGGACTTGTTAGTAAGGACCAAATCCAAGATAACAGAATCAACTTTGTACTTTTGAAAGAGAAAATTATCAGCAACATAAGAATTTAGCTGATATATTTGGCAAAATGAGTCTTGTTACAGCAGATATCTGGATAGTTGAAAACTTTCATCAAAACCATTTCAATTTTTTTGAAACGTCAATCCTGCTTTACCTCTTCTGACAGCTTTGATGATTTATAGCAGACTCCAAGCAACAGATTCTTTTAGCTTGTCCTTTTATCTTAGCCCAGTTGCTTTCGACATGTCTGTTACCATTAATCCAGCAGACCTGTATGCAGGTAAGTTCATTCCTGATAGACAGGTAGTCCTCAATTTACAAGAGTTCATTTGACCGTTTGAAATACAACGGCACTGAAAAAAATGACTTATGGCTGTTTTTCACACTTGCGACCACTGCAGCTTCTCCATGGTCATGTTATCAAAATACTTGGCAAGTGACTCATATGATGAGTCCTGTGCAGTGTCCTATGGTCATGTGATCACCTTTTGCAACCTTCTAACAAGCAAAGTCAGTGAGGAAGCTAGATTCACTAAACAACTGTGTTACTAACTTAACTGTAGGGATGAACTTAACTGTGGCAAGAAAATTCACTCTCTTAGCAATAGAAATTTAGAGTTCAATTATAGTCATAAGTTGAGGACTACCTGTAAGTGGTTTTCAAGCAATGATCTAAATGTCGAGGACTACTTGTAGTATGGAGACATTTAAGATAATGTATTAAAATTCCTTCGCTCAGTTTCCTTTTTCCATTATGCTAAACTAGTGATTTCCAAAACACTTCACTTTACTGCTGCATTCAATCCATTACTTACCCATCTATTTATTACTCTAATAGACTTTATGATTCCCCCCTTATATTTACCATATTTCAAAGTTCACTTGAAAAAAGAATCTCCTGTTGAACTTTTCTTTTCAATGGATAATATTGATCAGAATACCAACTGGATCCTCCTGCCCAGTGTTGTTTTTGATGTATTTCTTGGAAACAGGAAATTTCTTCCATGTACAGCAGAATTACTTTATTTTACAAGGCTGCCTCATTCCTGCTTAATTTCTTTCAACTTCCAGAACCAAATGAAATGCAAACACTGAGAATAATGTAAGCAAAATTAAACATTTAGTGCTTCACTGACAAGCATTGCTCAGTCTAAAAAAGTGAACTGACCTAGATGCCATGTTTTAATCAACTTTTAACCCAAATGCCAAAGAAGATTATATCCCACAGTAAACCTCTACCAACTTATGTGTTGTAATGGGGCAAATGTTCTGGATTTGAGGATTATGTTACGAATGCCTCCATATAGCTTGATTATTGCTAAAATAGCAGTATACTTAGATGTGAGTTGTAAATGTATTTTTCAACACATCATTAACAAAATAGAATGGTGCTGAGAAATCAGTCTAAATATAAGCATACTATATCAAGGGTGACGCATGCATGTGTCTTTAAAAGAACTGTAAATATGGATATTGTACAGGGAAAAGCCACATCTGATTTAAACAAGTACAGGAGTAAAAAAGCAAATATTAAAATGTAGCAATTCAATCGTCTGTATGAGAGAACTGTGAACATTAAGTTTAAGCCCTTATAATGGTAGCCAGATGTGCATGAATTGAATTAGAATCTTCTTTGCTAGACTTTTGCTTTGATAATCATACGCAACTTAGCTATTCGTGGCCGATAACCACTTTTCTCTATGACAGTGATGGCTAACATTTTTGCCATTGCATGCCAGGAGAGGGGGCGGCAGGGGGGGTTGCGCGCGTGTGTGGTCACAGCCATAATTCTATGTGCCCCACCCCTGCGCGCAACCATCCCCCCCCTCCCCCCGCTCCCGGCATGCAATGGCCCGGTAGGCCTGTTTTTCTCTCATCTGACTCCAGAGCCTCTATATAATTCTGGGGAGGGTGAAAACGGCTATCCCCACCCCCCGGAGGCTAGAAACGGCCCGTTTCCCAACTTCTGGTTGGACAGGAAGTGATGTTTCTTGCTGTCCCCAGCCTCCAGAGACTCCTAGAGATATGTCACTGAAGGCTATAATTACAGGTGAGAAACATAACTGATTCCTACATCAGTTACATCTGAAGATCTGGATTCACACTTCAATTGAGCTTTGGTGGCAAGATATAAGCATAACTAAGCAATAGTAAAGGTGCTACTTACCTTCTCAAAAATTATTAAAAGCCTATCCAAACTATAGTTCAAATAGCTACACCATTGAAACACAAGTGCAACCCTCACATAAGACTCCCGAGACTAATAAAGCCATTTAAGTATCAGCTTCAAACAAAATAGGAAACAAAAGACTTCCTAAAATAAACCATTTATTGAGAAAAAGCTTTTAAATTTCTTCAATCAACGTCTGCATAACAAATCAAGCTGGCCAATAAAAAACAGAAACAAAAAAACAGAAAAGTAGAAGTTCACAGTCAGTGCACTCAACAAACAGGAGATTAAAAATAAAGTTCAGACTGCCTGATATAACACTAACTTTGTTTTTGAACCTAAAAGTTCAAAAATCCTACATATTAACATTACAGTTCTCAGTCATCTGAGAAACAGAGAAAGGACAAAAATAAGTTCATGGTCCATTATACAGTAGTAATGGCACTTTCACTGAAACATGCAGCTTCTTTAAACTCATGGGGGCTGCCAGGGGAACAACAGGTGCCAAGGGAAACAAACAGCAGCAGCAGTAAAAGTGACGCCTGTCACTTGTGCAGTCTTCAGTCATGTTAGGCCTTGAGTCATATCCTGTGTCTCAACACAGTCCAAATGTAAATATTACATATAGTAGTGATTCAAAAAAATACTTCACCCGAGTACAGGCAACCATGTGCATAGCTTTATTCTTCATCTGTGCACACCTGGTGGTAACAAGGAGAGAGCAGATAATTAGCCCTATTAGACTTTTCTTTTAAAGGCATAATCTCCTTCCCTGACAGTGACTCCTCAGATGAGGTATCTTGCACTGTAGTTCAGGTAAGATCTACTGTAGACCCAGATTGCTGGGGGCAATTTGCTGGCTCTGTAAAACCGCTTAGAGAGGGCTGTAAAGCACTATGAAGTGGTATATAAGTCTTAAGTGCTATTGCTATTGCTACTGTAACTACTATGTAGACAAAATTATATCATTCTTTTCAAGAGAAGTGATTGATCCTCCAAACTGTGAAAACTGCACGAATGATGCTATTGGATAGTGTTTCCCAATCTTGACCATTTCTAGGTGTAAGGACTTCAACTCCCAGAATTCCACTGCCAGCATGGCCAGCGATAAGAAATCTGGCAGGTTGACAATACTTGTCAACAAGTATTGAAGTTGCCAAGGATGGATACCCCTGGATTAAGCCAAATATCGCACTTTGGAATTACGCTGATCTGGATTCCAGCCAATGCCCTTCACACCCTCACGCATCTAACTCCAGCATCTTATGGCCACTGAGCATATATGGTTAGAGTTAGGATAATTTTGTTTTAAAGATGCTTAGCCCGGCAGCAAAACTGTAGCTCTCCCAAATCTGCCCCTACCTCAATTTTGTGCACTGGGCCTTGTCCCAATGGCACACAAAGTCTAATCATTTGGAAGTTGCCAATAGGGGAAAACTCTGCAAATGCAAGCAATGTCTTTATCTCCCAGTTAGTTAGGGGTTCTGTACTACTGAATTATTTATGCTGCTTCAGTTCTTCTGATGATTCTAAAAGAAGAAAAACGTGTAGTAATTGCTTATGAAGACTAGAACTAAAATCCACAAGCTTTTTTAATTTAAACAGTTACTCTTGTGTAATAAGACCCCCACAATTACTAACAAGAATAGTCAAGCTTAACTAACCTTGACAAACGAATGATCGAGGAGCTGGCTAGCTGTCCATCTCATCTTTGGATCACTCTCCAGGCAATGAGAAAGGAAACCTTTTCCTTCTGGACTTATCTTTTCAGGAATCGGAGGCTTATGTCCCATCCCTACCCTGTACATGATCTGAAAGTTGTGTTCAAATTCATGCCAGGGTCTCTGTAACAAAGCAGGAAAATCTAAGTTGAGAAATTGAATTTTCTCACTGACTAGACAATGTATACATTGTGGTGAGTTAGTTGGTGCATTTCTTCTTTGAGGACAATAAGCTCTGATAAGCATAACAAATAACCCTGAGTATAAAGATTCATAAATAAGCACATGGAGTGGGAGACAATTCCAATCAATGGGCAAGATTTAGCTGTTTCTCTATTCCATTAATATATTTAAGAACCAAGTAATGCATCAAACAATGTTCCTAGGCGGCTCTTATAACAGTTGGACTTTATTTACAATGTTGGCTTATCTGAAATCTGGAAACTAGCTTAACTCCCTATTTGGAGACAGCAGAAGTCTGTGAAGACTTCCTGAGGTCTTTAACTATGCTCAAAAAGATAAATGAACTAAATGATGTTGCAAGGACAAGATTCTGTCATACTTCAACTTTAATAAATAGATTCTATGCAGTCGAATAGTTCTTTTTATTAAGCTGAGGAGAGTATGCTCAGCTTTTCAGTCAAAATTAATTCTTCTCTTGCCAGTGACTTTTAATCAAGCAAAGTTCAAGTTATTTAATTTCCCAGAAATCCAATAATGGCATGTTTTAGATCAGAGGGCAGCAACCTGCGACTCTGGAGCCACATGTGGCTCTTTCATCCCTCTGCTGCTGCTCCCTGTTGCCAGTCAGCTCCACAATTGATAGGGCTTTCGGTTAGGACAGGTAGAGGAAAAAGGATGCCGCGCAGAGAAGACACTATGGTGGGCGAACCAGACTTCCGGTCGGCATAGGAAAAAGGACGCTGTGCTAGGAGGAGACTCTATGGCGGGGGGAACTAGATTTCCAGTTGGCAGAGGAAGAAGGATGCCGTGCTAGGAGTAGACTCTATGGTGGGAGAACTGGACTTCCAGTTGGCTCCAGAACTGAACGGGGGGCTTCCGGTTAGGACCTTTGTGGCTCTTTGACTGTTTAAGGTTGCCGACCCCTGTTTTAGATCATCCAGTAACTAAACTGATTGAATGTCATATAGGAGACTTACCTTCCCTGTGACCATTTCAATCACAACACATCCAAGGCTCCAGATATCTGCTGCTCGCCCGTGGCCTTCTCCTTTAGCTCTAGTAATCACTTCAGGAGCCATGTATGCTTTGAAAAAACACAAAGGATCACATCAAATTTATGCAACAAAAGGAACAGGAGCCTTCACAACAAAAGGATTTGTCTGAGAAACCAAAGCAAGATCAGTTGTAAACTACCCATCTATGCTACCAAGTTACTAAGTACAAAGCACAACCTTCAGCTATTCTATATGAACTTAACGTAGACATTTCTGCTTACTTTAGAAGCATTTTCACAAATCTTATTGTGCCTTTCCAAGACACCTTCTCTTTATGAAAGAGCTACAGGTGTCCCACTCATTCCAGTGCAAGGGAAATATTTTCACATAGTTTTATGTCTCTAGTACAGAGCTAGAAGTTAATATTGTAAAGCCTTAGTAGTGCACACCTACTTGGATCCAAATGAAGAAAAGCAGCTTTGGAGTGTGAGGTGGATGTGGTTCACTACAGTGGTGAAATCCTGCTAGTTCTATCCGGCTTGCGCGAACCGGTAGCGCTGGCGAGGCTCCACCCACCCACCTGGATGTCGTCACTTCCTTTGACCCTCTGCGCATGCACAGAACGCTATGCGCACGCGTAGAGGGTCAAAAATTGGACCTGATGATGGCGTGCATGCGAGGACGCAGGCACGGATCGTACACGGCGCGTGCACTTACAAACTGGTAGGGAGCGTAAGTAGATTTTACCCCTGGTTCATTACCCAAGTCTGGGCTTTCTTTAAGAATCCCTGCTTTTTTCCACTCCATGCACAGAATCATGCTGTCCCAGGAAAATGCACATTTGATCTCAACCATCAACAAGGTCCAATAAGGCCATCATACCCAGTTACCGTCTCCATAACGCATAAGCCTATTTTCCTAACACTGCACACAGCTTTAGTGAGAGCAAGGAAAAGTTGGCTTGCAGGTGCACCAAGTGGATGCATAGCCCTTCCAAAACATCTTTTCTGTTCTGCATCCAAAGAGGTGCACATCCCTATTTTTATTTATTTTATTTTTATTTATTTTATTAAATTTCTATACCGCCCTTCTCCCGAAGGACTCAGGGCGGTGAACAGCCAGAAGATAAAACACAGAGATACAAAATTTAAAATAGATTAAAACGGATGAAATAATTTGGCTGAATTTTAAAATACCCCATAATTAAACAGATTAAAAATTGTGTTTAAAATTTAAATTTAAAAAAGGAGAAGATTTAGGCCAGGCCAGCTTGATGAAATAAAAACGTTTTAAGCGCGCGACGGAAGGTGCGAAGATCCGGGATCCTCCGTATCTCCGGGGGGAGCTCGTTCCAGATTTTAGGTGCCCCCACAAAGAAGGCTCTCCCCCTAGGGGCCGCCAGTTGACATTGTTTGGCCGACGGCACCCGGAGGAGCCCCTCTCTATGGGAGCGTACTGGCCAGTGGGAGGCTATTGGTGGTAGCAGGCGGCCCCGTAGATAACCAGGTCCTAAGCCATGGAGCGCTTTAAAGGTGGTAACCAGAACCTTGAAGCGCACCCAGAAGACCACTGGGAGTCAGTACAGCTCACGCAGGAGATGTTATAAAATCTCTTTGCATAGTAGCAAAGGTAATGATAACAGGTGATATTGATGAGCACTTCACTGATATGCACAGTTTGGACAATCCCGACAATGCAATCTGAAGATTTGATTTTTGATTTAGAATTACAGCTGCATAGTGGCACTGATATTCCAGAAGGTGGAGGGATTTTAAGCAATGTTGATCAATCTTGAAAACCTAAACAGTAGCTAAGCCAGTACTTGGAATGGAGGATGGATACTTTTGTTGTAGATCATTCTCGTAATAAAATCAAGGCAGGAAGTCAATAGCATACAGTAGAGAATCTCAGTGGCCACTAGACGGTGTTATATACAGAGATTTTGTTGTATGTTCTTCCTTACCGGCAGTTCCCAGAGTACTATTCACCTCTCCAGGCATTGTCTGGGTATTATTCTTTAATTTTACCGAGCAGCCAAAATCTCCCAGCTTTATCAATCCTGATGATGTAAGAAAGATGTTTGCTCCTAAAAGCCAAAATAAATAAATGAATGAATGAATAAATAAATAAGATTTCATAATTAAACATTACAGAAGATTTTAGCTCCAAATTGCTTCAGAACAATCAGGCTCAACTATAAATGTATACGCATTATAAATATCTGGACAGTTAATACAGGTAGTCCTCGACTTATAACAGTTCATTTAGTGACCGTTCAAAGTTACAATGCCACTGAAAAAAAGTGACATGACCATTTTTCACACTTATGACCATTGCAGCATCCCCATGGTCACATAATCAAAATTCAGATTACAGCTGACTCACATTTATGATGGCTGCAGTGTCCTAGAGTCGAGTCAATGGGGAAACCAGATTCACTTAACAACCGTGTTATTAATTTAACAACTGCAGTGATTCACTTTACAAATGTGGCAAAACTCACTTAACAAATTTCTCACTTAGCAACATAAATTTTGGGCACAATTGTGGTCGTAAATTGAGGACTACCTGTATTCTTCCTTACAAATTCCTATAAATATCTTGTATGCAATCAAGGATGGGGGAATCACACTTTTCCTTTGATTCATTTATCTGAATCTTATTTCTGATGCAGCATTCCTGCATTCTCCAAATAAAAGATGGGGTCTTTCATTTTTATATCCCTTTTGCGATCTCTAAGCACGAGGAAGAGTCGGGAAGAAAAACTCTCATTTGTCTGCATAATTCCTGATCCCACAAGACTGATAGCAGTTGTTCCTATTTTTCTACTCCAGCTTAAGCTCTGAAAGGGAGGAAGCGCTTCCATTGGCAGGATGCCTCCTAAGTGCATTGCTATGGAAACTGAAAATGATCTTCAAGAGAGAGAGAGAGAAGCAGAAACTGAGCAGCATTCAGGCAGGTCTATCTCACTGCTTCAGCTAATGGTGAAAAACAACCATTAACATCATGTAGTCAAGCATAACTGCCTGCTGCCTCTATTCCCTAAACAATCTCCGAAACGTCAGCATGTAATATTTTCTTTTGTGAATGCTGATGTAATTATTGTTGCAATGTGTCCCCATTTGTGTCTTGATAAGTGATTTCATTTATCAGCAAAGCATGGTCACACTCCAAAGGCACCCTTCAGATTCAGTGGGAAGTGTCAAAATTGTCTGTTATTTCCTAATTACCTTCTGTTCCCTTTATCTATAAATATTGATCACAACTGTGAAAGGTACAAATGAGCCATAAATTCTGGCTGGCAAGCAAGCAAACCTCTTTTAAAACATCCAACTGCGGAGAAGAGGAAGTGAGAAAGGCTGAAAATCATGCAGCATGTTATTTGAAGCGATTGGTTTCTAAAATGTGTATTACCCACATCTGGCTTTAAACAAAAGTCTGCTGGGCAGTCCAAAGTAGAAGAGAAATCTAAATAAATCTCTACCTTTAATATCTCGATGCACTATACCATGTTCGTGCAACACATTGATGGCAGTTGTGATCTGCTTTGTGTAGAGCCTAATAACATGCTCCTGGAGGCCCAGCCTTGACACTTCTTCCAGGGTCCCTTCGTCACAATACTCCATAAAGATGTACATTTCTTCCTGTAATTGAGGTGCAAAGAAGTTTAAGAAGTGGACATCCTCACTAGGTAGAATGCAGTTCTTTGTTTATAGGCATGGTCCAATAAGCTCTGAATGTGAAATATGAAAGCTACTTTGGTGTAGTGGTTAAAGACACTGGACTAGAAGCCAGGAGCACAGAAGCTTCCCAGTTGTTCACTCGCAACTATAGACAAGGAAAAACTGTGCTCTACCAACACACACTTGGCAGGTTACATTCCATAATCTTCAGTAAAGAAGGCTTTGTCTTGCAATGGGCTGTTTATATTACAGCAGGGAAACTCAAGGCCCAGGGGCCGGATCCGGCCCATGGGGTGCTTAGATCTGGCTCGTGGGGCCGCCCTGGAAACAGCAAAGAACCAGCCCGCGGTGCCTCTGCCAGAGAAAACAGAGGTCGGGAGGGCTGTGTGCAGCCCTCCTCAGCTTCATTTTCGCTGGCAGAGGGATGCAGGAGGCTGTCGCAGCTGAAAACGGAGGTTGGGAGCCCGTTTTTGCTTGCAGAGCACTTGGACTACCATAGATATCCCCAACACGAGTGACATCGAGCTGGCCACGCCCACCCTAACCATGCCCCCCAAGGTCAAACACAATCCTGATGCGGCTCTCAATGAAATCGAGTTTGACACCCCTGTATTCGAGTGTGTGACAGAGCCCAAAAGCTTTTTTAACCAACAGTCCATTCTGTGTACAGTAGCATATAGCAGGAAATAGGACAAATGTTTGCTGTGATGGGCAACAAACATAGTTGCAGCAAATTACTCATATAATTCACATTATTTACTAGATGTCCAACTATATTAAGGGTTTTACATGCTTTTTACTGCTGTACTTTGTTCTTTCTCAAAGGTAGCAGCCTTTTCCTTTTTCAAATTTCAGCCAAAGGTAGAAAAGATAATCAAGTCTAGAAGACCTCTAAGGTCCCTTCCAACTCTATTATTCTATTCAAGTCTATTTCATCAGCTATCCTATATAGCCACCCAGTATAAGGTTTAAAGTATAAAGTTTATTCAGATTATGTGCATATGAGTATGTAGTCCTGAGGTTTAAGAGAGAGAAAATCATCACCCAGCAATTTGCAAAAAAATAAAATAAAAAATAAAAAATGTAAAGTTAAGCTCCAAGATCTCAGTTTAAACATACAGTAAACACTGGGGATGCTCTCCTTCAATTTCAGCCAAAGGTAGAAAAGAGAACCAAGTCTATTTCATCAACTATTCTAAGAGGAGAGGCCTCTTTTCTACTTGAAACAAAGCTAGTTTTTCAGGCTATGCAAACTCTTTTTATGTTTGATAATTAAAAGAGGGGGCAATGTCCAAGGTACCATATTTTTCGCAGTATAAGACGCATCCTTTTCCCCCCTAAAAGGGGGTGAAAATTTAGGTGCGTTTTATACACTGAATGTAGCCCCGCCCGCCCACTGGCCCCCACTCTTTGGCCTCTGCCTCGCAGCAGTTACCTCCTTGCAAGCAAACAGCAAGAAAAAACAGCTCCTTTCAGCTTCAGCACAGGCTAATTAGCACAAGTTGATTGGATCGGCCTCCGACTCTCAGCTGATTTGCTCTCAGCTGTTTTGCGCAGGCTCTGCTGCTTGCTGCAAAGAGGTAAATTGCTGGAGCAGATTTTTTTTTTCTTTGTGCTAATCAAGCTATGCTGAAAACGAAAATGAAAGTAAAGCAGGCTGTTTGTAAGTAATCCTCAGTTTGCTATTTTTTCCCCTAGGAGTCCCAGTGCAAAAACCAATTATAGAAAGGCAAACAGAATCCTTTTTTGTCTTCACTGTTCTCCAGTTTTAATTGCCAACCATTTCAATTTCTAATAATTTTGAAAGGAAGAAAGGTAACACGAATATATAAACTACAGCTGGATTTTCCCTCTCTTCAGCTAGTAATACCTTTGGGATAGAGAAATTACAATAGATGAAGGTTTGTTTTTTTTTTATTTTTATTTTTTTATTTGATTTATATGCTGCCCTTCTCCGGAGACTCAGGGTGCCTTACAATGTGTTAAGCAATAGCCTTCATCGTTTTGTATATTTATACAAAGTCAGCTTATTGCACCCACAAACTGGGTCCTCAATTTACCTACCTTAGAAAGGATGGAAGGCTGAGTCAACCTTGAGCCTGGTGAGATTCGAATTTACAGTAATTGCAGACAGCTGGTGTTAATCACAATGCTTTTAGTTTGCTGAGCGACCAGGCCCTTAACCTAAGGTTAAGAGATCAACCCTTATGAATCCTTTGACTAAATCCACTGCTCTTTGTTGGGAAATTGGACCATGCTTCTCACACATTTAATTTGCTTCCTAAATAGCAAATGTAATCCTGGAACAATCTACATATACTTACTTCCACAAACAAAATGAAACACAGATTGAGTCCATAGCTTAAAAACACAAAGCAAGACCAACATTCCCCTATACTCTTATTAACTAAATCAATTTTAATTTTAATTAATATAGAGTATAAATTAAAATATTATATTACAGTTAATATAAACTGTAAAAGTCAGTGACCATCGTCTCCTTACCCTATGAAGTTCTACACCAAAGTAGCGGACCAGATTAGGATGCTTAATGCCTTCAAAAATTTTCAATTCATCTGCAGTTTCTTTTATTGTTTTGTGATCGTTGGGTTGAAATCTTATCTGCAAAAAGATATTATATTTCATGAGTGTTGCAAACCAAGCTAACAGGAAAAAAAGACTAGAGAAAAGCAATACTGAAACCACACAGAGATCTGTTTATTCTATCATACAGAATAAGATTACAATCACAGATCTGCACAGATAATACAGAAATCTCTTCGCTTCTATTCTACTCTTAATATAATATCTAGGGCAAGTTTTAACAAAAGTTTTAAATCTGTTAAAAATATAATCAAACAGGGGCTACAGACAAAAGAATTGCAGAATATTTACCAGTCAGCAAACAAGAGCTAACCTCCATATTTCTTCATACAGCAAGTTATTAAATAATGCTACTAGAGCTACTGAGAAGCCCCATATCTTGTCATTTTTCCCCATGCTTTCATTCTATGTTGAATACAGTGGGATGCCTCTCCTTCTGATACTAAGAAGCAGATACGTTAGTAGGAAAAAGGCATTCTCTCACCATAAATAACTTAATTTAAAAAGCTGCCATTTGAATAATTAAATAAATTGTACAAACAAAAAATATAAACATATAAAATTGTTTTACAAGCACATTGCTTACTTCTTTCATTGCCATCAATTCACCAGTGTCAACGCTGATACAGGTATAAACTTTCCCATATTGGCCTTCACCTGCAGAATTGTAATTTAAAAAAGAGATATAAGCACTCTGAAAATATTTTTTTTACATCTTCTCAGTATAAGTCAGTCATATATCATTTTGTGCAGAATATTTACACAAATATACGTGTGGATTCTTTTGTTAGGTGCCTTGGATGCTTTAGGAATGACCAATCTAATTAAAGCACAGGCATTTAAACAGAAAGTATTTTAAATACACACATACACAGACCAGAATATCATATATGATAGCTCTGTTATGAAGAGTGCATAGTAACACCATCACCTAGCTCCCGACCTATTCCATCCAATTCCAAAGCTAATAATTTCTAGATAAAATATATGTCATTTAGCTCTAAGTACCTCTCTTCACACAGTTGCATTATAGGACAGATTTTATTTCTAAATCACCTGCAATAATTTACAGAATATTCTGGATTTAGCATCCATCATGGCTTTTTAAACAAACCAGAAATTATAAACGCACAGGTTGATAAAAGCAAAGTCCTTGAGCCAGGTAAAAATTAAATATGCAGGAAGACACATACATTTCTGGGTTAAAAGCATAATAGTAACTCCCTCCATTAACCTAAATATCAAGTGGTAGCTCCCTAGAAACTTACCAATTTTGTTTCCTCTCTGCCACTTAAACGTGACTTTTCTTAAGCCTACATGCATGACGTTATCATAGGATTTGGGCGTGTCACAAACTTGGCCAATGATGTTTTTCCGTCTCATTTCCCGGTACCTCTTTTCTTCAAACAGCTGGACAGACTTCTGAACTGCTTCCATAGGTCCCTGCCTGGAAGCAGTGTCTAGAAACAAATAGAATAGGCAAAAGCGTTGATTATGAATGACCTGCAGTTATTTACACTACACCATTAAAGCAGTATGAAAACTATTAGAGAGCCAAGACTGGTGAATGGTCTAAATATTCTAAAGGTTTAGAATAAAAAAAGTCAATCATTTAGACTTTATTTAATTAAGGGTATATATTTAGAATATTTATAAAATAATTACTTCTCCATCCTCCTTTTACTCACTCCCCAGTGATTCAAATTCATATATACATTCAGCTGTAAAAACTGGGCATGCAGCCATGGTTCCTAGATTATTTTCACACACACCCCTTAGCAGGATGGGAGGAGTTTGATTTACTACATCCTCACCCTCATCATAGTTGGAAGGGACCTTGGAGGTCTACTAGTATAACCCCCTGCTTAAATAGGAGACCTTATATTATTTCAGACAAATGGCTGTCCAGTCTCTTCTTAAAAGTACCCAATGATTGTTGCCTTTGTTCCACTGGTTGATGTTCTCACTGTTAGAAAGTTTCTCCTTAATTCCAGGATGCTTCTCTCCTTGATTAGTTTCCATCCATTGTTTCTTATCCTGCCTTCTGATGCTTTGGAAAATAAGTCAATTCCGTCTTCTTTATGGCAGCCCCTTAAATATTGGAACCTAGCTATCAGGCCACCCCTAGTCCTTCTTTTCACTAGACTAGCCATACCTAATTCCTACAACTGTTCTTTGCAATGTATTGCATCTGGGTGTTTTTATTCCCCCACGTTACATCTCTGCAATGTCTATGTCTATGCCTGCACTGGGAAACACGGATAGGCTGCATAATCCCACTTTAGGAGGCAGAAGCAAGAAAGGCTTAGAATGGAGCAGCAACCCAAATTGTCTCGTGATTGTGCCTCCTATATGCATTCAGGGATTATTTTTCCCCCACAACAGACCACAATCTAACACACTGGTCCAATGCAGGATGGTTGATTCAATTTCCTAATCTAGGTAGGTGAGTGAGTAGTGGGTGAGTCAGTGAGCAAGCAAAATCACATAGCCATTTTATGCCTAAGGGGTGATTAAAACCTGGGTCTCTCTGCGCCTAGTCCTTCACCTTAACCATTATACCACACTGGTTTCCAAATATATGTATGCATGTGGATATATTTGTATTGAACAAAGGTGACAAGCTCCATGGATGGTTACTAGCAAGAAGAATGTAGGAATTGACACGGATTTAATCCTCCTATTATATCCTTTATATCCTCCTATAATCCTATATAAGGGCCATCTAGATGATTTTGAATTTGTATCTGTCATCACCGGCCACGTTACTCTTGTTATCTGGAAATAACATCTGAGGGCAAAGGCTTCCTAGTTATATTGAAACTATCTGGAATATGGATAAATATAAGGAGGAACTAAAAGAACAAGCTTGATTTGTTCAAGAACCAATAATATGAATATAGTTGGATGCAACTGTAAGAAAAATAACCTTTGAGAGAAATACTAAATTACTAGCTGGACGCCCGTTGCTTCGCTAAGAAACTATGTGCTCGGGCTTGATAAATTGACACTTACAGCCTGAAACTTAATGTAGAATGTGTAACTCCATAGCATCAGAGTGTGTTAATATAATGCAACTGGCAGTTGGAACAGAGGGGGAGGGGGAGTAGAATGTCCCAGCATCCATCAGTATTCATCTGGCTAACATCCTGTCAGTGTGTGAGAGAGTTGAAACTCAACTGTTTGGAAACTCAAACAGTATTTACTGTGTGAGCAGGGAGATAGGAAGGAGGCTGGGCGTGGCTTAGCTCAACTGTTCTGTATTAAAGCTGCTTGCTGCTGCGAAAGTAAAACTGAAACTGAAACTCCTCTGCTCTGCTGGTGTTTTGCATTTGGAACAGATTTCTTTTAAGGTGGGGAGGAGGAGTAGAACTCCTTAGCATCAGTGTGTTAATAATAATATAGGAAATACTAATGCTCTGATGGTCACTTCGAAAAACCCTTTCTTAGTGAGCACCTAGAAGCCAAGAGGAACATACGTGGCAAATTTCAAGTTTGTAGGCTTTACAGTTCTGGAGATTTCGTGATTAATGCGTGAGTGTTTTTCACTTTTATATATATAGATACCGTGTTTCTTCAAAAAGACGATCCACCTTGAAAAGCCCTATCATGTTTTTGAGCGCATGCAATCAAATTAAGCCCCACCCACAAAATTAACCCTAATTAAGTCCTCGCCCACCCCGTGGTACAGGGGGTGGGGCGAGGCACAGAGGTAAAAAATAAGCTAGGATGGGGATGGGGGGGTGAAGTTGCCCTACCTTGCACACTAACTGCACACCAACTGCAACTGGAGCCAATTATCGGCTGCAGATGCCTTCCAGCAGGCATCTGAAAGTGAAACGGAGGCCAGGGTGATGTGTGCAAGTGGCGGCAAGCAGCCACAGAAGAAGTGGGCCAGCAGTGGGCTCCTGCTGGGCACGGCTGTCGGTGCCACCGCTGCAAGGCGAGTCAATAATTAGAACCCTCCAAAAAGAAGGCCTAGCTGTTTTTTCGGGCATCAAAAGAAAATAAGACCTGGCCTTTTTTTGGAGAAACACGGTAGCTACTATAGAAGGGCAGTTTGAAATACATTTCTTGCCAAAGTAACAAACTCTTTTTTTTTTTTAACCTTTGGTCTGACTGATGAGAGTCCGAAGCTCCCAACTTCTTCGGGCTGTTCCACTTGTATCCCCTTTTGGATAAGATGGCTCTGTGAAAAAAAAGAGATGCTGTTAAGAAATGTAGGGCGCGCGCGCACACACACAAAGAGCCAACAACTGATTTCTTACCCTTTGATCAGCAGCTTTTAAGCATTGCTGCTTATGTTAAGATGAGAGTGAAGGCTATTATGAGTGTGTGAACAGGGCCCCCTAACAAGAGTATATGTGAATAATATATATTCACATATACATTAATCGAGTACTTAACAGTTATGATCAGCATAAGCATTGGGCCCCTCGTGTCCTATTCTTTATCCTAGAGCAGGCGTGGGGAAATATGGCCCTTTTATGACTTGTGGACTTCAACTCCCAGAATTCCTAAGCCAGCCATGCTCAGTCCACAAGTCATAAAAAGTTCCCCACCTCTATTCTAAAGACAGTGGGTTTGATGTGGAGAACCAGTCAAGGAACAAGCATCCCCTACTCCTCCTACACACTACGACTAATTTTCCCACCCATGACAAAGATAAGTTCTCAAGGATCAGCAGAGCCTCAGGACAGCCTGTATATCCCATCATGCCCTGCTGATGGAAGGCAGTTATTTGAAATTTATAGTGGAATCATGCTACAGCTCACACAAGGCATTTTTGACTCCACTGCAATAGTTTAAAATGAATACTATGGAAAAAAATGGAAACATTCCATTTAATAGTATATGTAAAATTAGACCTATGCAGAATAAAATAATGAAGTGAAAAACTAGAACGTTTCTCTTCAAAAAGGAAAATGAAGAGCAAAGTAACCGAAATAAATGAAGATCGTTCTCTTCATTAAGTGCAACAGAGTGGATCTTGGAAATGTTGTATTTAATGGAGCACATTAAATATAAGAAAAAGCCATAAAGACTAGTGAAGGATAACTTAACTATATGAAGTACTCTTCTTCTCTGTAGAAGAAATGGAGTTTGAATGTTCATACTCTGAAGAATACAAGTGGTCCTCGACTTACAACCACAATTGAGCCCAAATTTCTGTTGCTAAGCAAGACAATTGTGAAGTGAATTTTGCCCAATTTTACCATTTTTCTTGCCACAATCGTTAAATGAATCACTGCAGTTGTTAGGTTAAGAACAACTTATTAAGTTGTTCTTTTAAGTGAATCTGGCTTCCCCACTGACTTCGGTTGACACAAGGTCACAAAAGGTGATCCCATGACCCCTGGACCCTGCCACCATCATAAATATGAACCAGTTGCCAAGCAACAACCATAGGAATGGCAAAAGCCGTTAGCATAGCAACAGCAAAAGCACTTATATACCGCTTCATAGTGCTTTACCGCCCTCTCTAAGCAGTTTACAGAGTCAGCCTATTGCCCCCAACAATCTGGGTCCTGATTTTATCGACTTTGGAAGGATGGAAAGCTGAGTCAACCTTGAGCCGGTGAGGATGCTGCAACATTCGTAAATGTGAAAAACGTTCATAACTCACTTTTTTTCAGTGCCATTGTGATTTTGAACGGTCACTAAACAAAGTGTTGTAAGTGGAGGACTATCTGTATTCAAGCTAAAACCCAAAGGGCATCTTAACAAAAAAGCAGCACTTAAATTAAAAAGTGCTGAAAGGAAACGAGTGCTAACTTTTGCAACAAGAAAACTATTTGAAGTACTTTCACTACTGCACTTCCAAGAGAAAAGTGACTGCTACCCCTGCCTGGGCCAAGAGCTCATGTGCTTGCTTAAAGATCTGAGAGAGCAACTCTAAAGTAAGCAAAATAGATTTTAAAAACCAATTTGGTGATATCTGGTGAACTGTGGACCTTTACCCAATGTTAAAAATGAATTTATTTATTTATTTGAAGCTATTAGACTCAATTGGGTATTTAGGGCTACTGCATTCATAGCCACTAAGAAATTTAAGCATCTGTACCTCATTATCCCATACAGAATTCAATAGGTTCAGCAAAACAAACTGCCTTGTTTTGAATAACTGAATTTTGATTTACATAAGAAATAACATAATTGGTTTACATTTCGTGCTTGAATAGTCATATCAAATTACTTGAAGGGTCATACAAAAATACAAGTTATCCAACGACGGGCAATTTTCTAGATTATATTCAAGTCAGATAATTTATTATATATTTAGGTTATCATTTTCCTATATTTGTATGGTTCCCCCAAAACTGTGTCTTCTAGCTGTACTGGACTACAATTTCTATCATACTTATGTAGTACATAAGTATGTAATACATCCATCGGCACGGTAGATGGGAATGTAGTATTTAAAAACAGCTGGAAGCCATTAAGTTATGAAGGGTTAGCACAAAGAAATGGCAGATGAACCAGATTCATACAGTTGCAAGAAAAGGTATGTGAACCCCTTGGGATTACATGGAGTTTTGCATGAATTGGTCATAAAATGTGCTCTGAACTTCATCTAAGTCATAACAATAGAAAAACAGAGTCTGCGTAAAATAATACTACACAAACATTAGATGTTGCCATGGTTTAATTGAACATAACATGTAAACACTTCACAGTGCATGGAGGAAAAAGTATGTGAACCTTTGGACTTAATAACTGGTTGACTCTCCTTTGGCAGCAATAACTTCAACCAAACGTTTCCTGTAGTTGCAGATCAGACCTGCACAACGATTTGGAGTAATTTTGGATACTCCTCTTCACAAAACTGTTTCAGTGTAGCAATATTCTTGGGATGTCTGGTGTGAATCGCTCTCTAAAGGTCATGCCACAGCATTTCAATCGGGTTGAGGTCAGGACTCTGACTGGGCCACTCCAGAAGGCGTATTCTGTGCTGTTGAAGCCATTTGTTTTGTTGAATTACTTGTATGCTTTGGGTCATTGTCCTGTTGCATCTCCCATCCTCTGCGGAGCTTCAGTTGGCGGACAGATGGTCGTACGTTTTCCTGCAAAATGTCTTGATAAACTCTGGAATTCATTTTCCCATCAATGACAACAATCCGTCCAGGCCTTGAGGCAGCAAAACAGCCCCAAACCATGATGCTCCCTCCGCCATGTTTTACAGTGGGGATGAGGTTTTGATGTTGGTGTGCTGTGCCTTTTTTTCTCCAGACATCTGGTTTCATCTGTCCACAGTATATTTTGCCAGTAGTGCTGTGGAACATTCAGGTGCTCTTTTGCAAACTTCAAACGTGCTGCAATATTTTTTTTTTGGACAGCAATGGCTTCCTCCGTGGTGTCCTCCCGTTTACTCCATTCTTGTTTAATGTTTTCCTTATTGTAGATGTGTCAACAAAAATGTTAGCATGTGCCACAGATTTCTGTAGGTCTTTAGCTGACACTCTAGGATTCTTCTTTACCTCATGAAGCATTCTGCGCTGTGCTCTTGCAGTCATTTTTACAGGACGACTATGCCTAGGGAGAGTGGCAACTTTCTCCATTTGTAGACAGTCTGTCTTACCGTGGACACATGAACATCAAGGCTTTTGGAGATACTTTTGTAACCCTTTCCAGCTTCATGCAAGTCAACAATTCTTGATTGTAGGTCTTCTGAGAGCTCTTTTCTGCGAGGCATGGTTCACATCAGACAGTGCTTCTTGAAACCAGTAAACCCAAAACAGGTGTGTGTTTTTAAAGGGCAGGACAGCTGTCAGCAACACATCCAATATCATTGCACTGATTGGAGTCAAGGTTGGCTCACTCCTGACTCCAATTAGCTCTTGGAGAAGTCATTAGGCTAGGGGCTCACATACTTTTTCCTCCCTGCACTGTGAATGTTTACATTTATGTTCAATTAAACCATGGCAACATCTAATGTTTGTGTAGTATTATTTTAAGCAGACTGTGTTTTTCTATTGTTGTGATTTAGATGAAGTTCAGAGCACATTTTATGACCAATTCATGCAAAACTCCACGTAATCCCAAGGGGTTCACATACTTTTTCTTGCAACTGTATATGCAATTCTGGCAGCTCCAAAAGCCTACAAATACTTTTGGTCCATATTAATCCCTTTAAATGAAACAGGAAATTCTTATATAAGAAATTCAGTGAGGGCACACCTTTCAACCTATTTCTCCACTATATTGTACTGTTGCAATTACCCAGTTTTCTGTAAACCTGTGAAAAAGGAAAGCCAAAGATAGTAACCAAGCATCTCTTTTTCTCCTTCTCTGGAGACAATGCAAATATGCCAAGATTTTAGAAAAGGTGGGTAGTGTCATTGTCTTCCACACCAAAAATATGTGTTTGAGCTCTTCCAAATCTGCACCTTATTGGAATTTACGTATGCAATAAATTGCAGGAAAGGTTCTTCCATTCCTTTAAAGTCCGTGACCGCAATTTGCTTTATAAACATGCTTCGCCTGTATATTTATATGCAGAAAGGGAAATGATGGAACAGATGAAACAAAGGTAGCTTAAAGTCTATGGAGATTCTGTGTCATCCAGCTCATGGTTGTCCCAAGGATGCTTTTTCAAGAGGCAACTGGACTTTCTGGTTTTTCTTTGAAGACGTTTCACTTCTCATCCAAGAACCTTCTTCAGCTCTGACTGGATGGTGGGAATCTGGAAGCTTCTATTCCCCACCATCCAGTTAGAGCTGAAGAAGCTTCTTGGATGAGAAGCGAAATGTCTTCAAAGAAAAACCAAGAAATCCAGTAGCCTCTTGAAAAAGCACCTTTGGGACAAACATAGCTTACTTCAACTACTTACTATCTTAAAGAGGATGCTCTTTGAGTGACGGTTCCTAGTGAATGCTTTCCTTGGGAATTTTTCTTTAATGTCCCAAAGATGCTTTCTTTCAGAAGGCAACTGGACTTTCTTGCTTTGCTTGAAGATGTTTTGCTTTTCATCCGAGAAACTTCTTCAGTTCTGACTGAATGGTGGAGAATGGAAGGATTTCTATTCCTTGCAGATGTTCAGTGAGGCAAAACAAGAAAGTCCACTTGCCTTTTGAAAGAAAACACCTTTGGGACAATCATGACCTTCACAACTGAGAATCTCCATAGACATTTAATTTAATGTGTTTACCAACAAGTTTGTAGCAGTCTTCTCAACACCAGCCCATACATATCCCAGAAAGACTATCTCCTAGGGAAACCTATTTCAAACTTACTTTTCCACCAGCTAATTAACTCTTCCGTCCTCAAACTTATAGATCCTCAAGTGATTTTATTTGTGGTCCGATAATTGTTATAGTTACTGTCATAGCTACCAATGTTGAAGTTTAGGCAACTTCAAATGAAAGTGCCATACAAATAAATTTCAAGACTGGAATTAATAACAAAAAGCCATTCTAAATGTTTTTAAAAATCTGAGCCTATATTATCAAAATCTCCATAATTATATCAGAGTAAGGATACCAAACTAAAAGTTAAGCAGAAGCCTTACCAGGATATGATAAATATATTTTAGGGGAAATAGTATTCATATACAATCATCATTATAATAGCACCTTCTCGTTCTTCTGTGGGACTTGAATGTCGGCTTAGTGATCTAAACTGTAGTTCAGCAGCAATTGAAGCCAGGCGATCATTTTCAGGAACACTGGAGCCCCTGTTTTTTTAAAACAGTAAAAAAACACAGCTCTTTTATTGATCAGGGCTTTTACTCCCCTCATTTCTGAAGTGGCAAGAAACTGAAAATGCAAGTAAGAACACAGCCGTGGCTGGTTGTGTTAACCAAAGCTATAGTTTAAAAAAGCAAGCTAAATATGTATATTATCATATATATCCATATAACTGTATCCATTATCCTGAATAAAGGGCCATTAAAAAAAACTGCTATTTTTTTTAACAAATGCTGCTTTTAATGTTAAGAGTCAGTGAAACTAAATTCAAAAAGAGCCGGCATATGCCAATGTAAGATTAATCTGCATTTTAAAAAATCAATAATCTCCTAAGAAATTGGTGACTGAAATCTTTGGCATTACCATAGGCCAACTATTTGAAAAGAGTTTTAATTGACAGGTACACAAACTGCAGTTTTAGGAAATGGAATGGTAAAGCATTGGTTTCACCACCAGTCTGCAAGTGCATGTATATAGCACCGTGTATATGTGGTCCTGGTCATATCTCAAATGTATTTATTTTTATGCATTTGTGCTGGCTGTATCATTGGTCTAATTTCACATGACTTGAATCACAGGTGGTACTACACAAATGCAGAAAGGGTAGACAACATGAACTGCATGCATTAAAGAGAATGAAATAATTCAAACTTTTTAAAAAACAAAGCAAAACATGCATTATCAAAAATGTAGTTGAACATGCACTTCGTAGAAATGTCTTTTAAGAACTTCACATCCTGAATGGAAACAAGTCAGTCATGGGGAACACACAATGGAACCAAGAGGAACTACTAGGGTCTAAGTGCACGCATGGTTTGTATGAGTGGCATGAACAAGCATGAGTTTGCTATACTGGGGAGTGGAGCTACCTGAGGTCATTTGTACTGCTGACGGGTTTTGGCTGAGTTGAGTCACTCCCAACAGGAGTGGGGCGACTGAAAGCAGAGCTGCAATGGTTCCGTACATCACATGGGATATTCCTTGTGCTGCAGTGAGAAGAAAAGCTTCAGGAAAAAAAAAAAAAAAAAAAGCTCTGGCTCCACATAAAAAAGGATTTTTTAAAAAAGTAAGATGACTCAAAACAGCAGCCTGGAAACCAAAATCTTGTAAAAAGTTATAAAACTTGGCTTCTAACGCACGAGAAAGATTTCTGAACATGAAGTGCTGAAGGCAAAATTAGAAAGAAAGAAAAAAAGGTAACAAAGATCATGGGCCACTTTAGAAGTCACTTGGGGTTTTAATTTATGGATGTGCATTCAACTAACAACAACAAAACATAGTTCTTAGTTGCATTCAAGTTTCATTAACAACAAAACATGGAGGCCGCCATGTCATGGACCAGTGATGGCTAACCTTTTTGCCATCGCGTGCCAAAAGTGGGGTGAGTGTGACGGGGTCCTGTGCGCATGTGCCCACACCCATAATTTTATGCGTCCCAACCCCCGCATGCGTGCATGCCCCCCGCACTCCCCCCACTTTTGGCACGCGATGACACGGTGGGCCCAGTAGGCTCGTTTTTTACTCTCCCCAGGCTCCAGAGCCTTTCTAGGAGCCTGAGGAGGGCAAAAACAGTGTCCCCCCCCCCCAGGCCCTCTGGAGGCCAGAAATGGCCCGTTATCTCGGGGGGTGGAGAAGGCTGTTTTCACCGTCCTCAGGCTCCTAGAAAGGCTCTGGAACCTGGGGAGAGCAAAAAACGGGCCTTCCAGTCCCACCGGAAGTTGGCAAACAGGCTGTTTCCAGCCTCCAGAGGGCCTCCAGGGGGTGGGAAAGGCTGTTTTCACCCTCCCCAAGCTCCTAGAAAGGCTCTGGAGCCTGGGAAGAGCAAAAAATGGCCTTCCTCCCTCCCAGGCCCTCCGGAGGCAAGGACCAGTCTGTTTCCCTACTTCCGGTGGGCCCATAAGGCCCGAACGGAACTGAGCTCATGTGTCCACCGATATGGCTCCGCGTGCCACCTGTGGCATGCGTGCCATAGGTTCGCCATCACGGTCGTAGACAAATCCACACATTTATTTTTAAGAAACAGAAGATAATGCGATACCACCAAGGCTTATCTTCTGCATCTCAGTTCTTGGCAATCTTTTAAATGTGGGCATTTTTAGTAGATGTTAGTAAACAGCATCAGAGGCATGTTCTCTTGTCCTCATTAAAAATGTAGTCTGGTAGACTGATCTGAGGGACAGCCTTCTTTTCTTGATCACCTCAAGACTGAGCATTCAGAAAGGAAGGAAAGAAGGCTGCAGAAATGATAGCGCAGAGCTAGGTTATGTATAGGAGTACAAAAATGGAAGACCAGACCTTGTCCATGGAGAAACAAAAAAACAACAATATAAAGTGTTCTTCAATTTAAAAATCACCACAGGGAGAGGAAGAACTAAATTACTTCTCAGCGTGTCATTCAGCAATGTCAAAAGTGCAATTCCATCACAGACAGGCATGCTGCACACACTACACAGAAGAGCAGGTCCTTACCAAGGTTGGAGAGAAAGTTGTGTTTTCCCCAGGAGTGCAAAGACTGTGCTTCAATGTAGAAGGGGAGGAAGGATAGCTAGAGGATAATATTGCTGGAACTGCTTTAAAAACTTCATTTTTTTTTAATTCTGTAAGTTAATAAATGTTTGGGATAAAGCTTTACATACCTGAACCCTTCAGGTGTTGGGATGATGAGGTGAGGATTTGGGGGATCACTATGACATCGGGGTACTTTCACGGGGCGAGGGCTATTCCGATGAATAGCTGCAAGCAAAAAGAGAAGAACACTTGTGTGGGAACAGGGAGCATCACATCACACCTTAAATCGTTGAATTATAATAACTTCGTCAAAAAATGAGAGAATGCACTGGAATTCACTGATTTTGTAACTGTTTTTAAACAGTTCATGGTTTTGTCTTCAAACGTGTCTACCAAACTACTAAAATGAACTTTAATAATCCAGTCAGATCAAAATAAATAGGCTAGTAAACAGAGTAAGCAGCAAAAACAGAGTAATTTATGTTGGAGTCATGCGGCACAAAAATTCACCAGACAAAAAGAAGCAGGTAAAAGTAAAAAGTTACCTGAGTCACAAGCCAATTCCAACCTTGATGAGTTGGTTAATATGTCTTTAGGGCTACAGAGACATAACCAAGAAGTCTTCTAGGCAACAACCCAGAAGTGGTTTGCTTACATGGTTACAAGCCCAGACAAGATTGGCCAGCTGCTGCCACCTGCCATTTCACTTGCCTGTAGGCATAATTTTCACAATTAACCTGGATTGGTTTGAACCGACTCACTTTTCAGGCCCATCTTTGATGAACAAATGCATTTTAATATTACAGGTAGTCCTCATGGGACTGGCAATTCAGTCATTAAGCAAAGTGGTTGCTAAGTGAAACCGTGACTGTGCTTACGATCATAATTCAGCTTTTCTTTGCCTTTACAAGCATCATAAATGGGAGGATTGGTTGTAAAGTTGCCTTTTTAATTCACTGTTGTAACTTTGAACAGTTGCTAAATGAGGTAGTCACTAAACCAGGACTACTTGTAATGGAATAATTCTTTTCTATAGCCATATAGATGTAGCTGTGCTTATGTTTCAACATAAGCAACTCATTTCCTTCAGAGAAAGCTACACCCAGTTGAGAAATACATGCTGCAGTCTGAGATTCCACATTTAACCATATAGGCTTGTACCCCAATGAAATCCATCAATTTTTTTATCCTTGTCAACCATAACAGGAGAATGATGGATAGTTTTCCAGTCTCTTGGAATGTTGTAATAGACAGTCAGTGGGCTATACTTTAAGTTTGTAAGGCATAAGGTACATAACTGCAGTTGGTCCAGAATGCGGCCGTGCGGGGGATTATGGGAGCGACGGGGCGCTCACATATAACACCTCTCCTGCGCGAGCTGCACTGGCTTCCTGTGGTCTTCCGGGTGCGCTTCAAGGTGTTGGTGACCACCTTTAAAGCGCTCTATGGCTTAGGGCCGGGGTATTTGCGAGAACGCCTTCTGCCGCCAATAGCCTCCCACCGACCGGTTCGCTCGCACAGAGAGGGCCTCCTCAGGGTGCCGTCGGCCAGGCAGTGCCGGCTGGCGACCCCCAGGGGGAGAGCCTTCTCTGTGGCAGCACCTGCCCTCTGGAATGACCTGCCCCGAGATACACACGATATCAGACCTCCGGACTTTTCGTCGGGCCCTGAAGACACACTTGTTCCATCTAGCTGGGCTGGCTTGATCCCATCCTCTCAGTTTTTAATTTGAATTCAGTTTTAATTGGTTTGTTTTAAATTCGGACCAAAATTATTTAATTGTTTTTTAAATGTTTTTAAATTTTATATGCTATGTTTTATCCTGGCTGTACACCGCCCTGAGTCCCGTAGGAGAAGGGCGGTATAGAAATATAATAAAATAAATAAATAAATAAATAACTCAAAATTAAGGAATCTCAGATAGGACCCCATGAAAGAAATGTAGAGGTAGCTAAATATCTGGTTTTTAGTACTTGCGATGACAACTGTAAGAAATCACATTCTAGTCTGTTCCCCTTGATTACAAAAGCCTTAGATCCATGTTAACGCGAATAGAAGACTGCAATGTGCCCACTGGCGGAAGCCTTTGAAGAGGATCCAAAAACTTCAATCAGTAGAAAAAATACAGCAGCAAAGCTACAGGCTGCAAGGAGTTATCCAAAACATGCAACTCCATTGTTATTCACTGGACCTTTAGTTTCAGAGCTCATTGTAAGAACTGCTCATTATCATTAGAGCTTTGAACAATTTGGGGCCAGGATTCCTAAAATGCCACTCCCTCCCATGTGAAGCTGCCCACTCTTTGAGATCATCTGGAAAGACCCAGCTGCACATCCTGATTTCCAAGACTCATTTGACAGGAATGTGCAAGAGGGCCTTCTCAGCTGCTATGCCTGGAATGTCTGTTCTCTGGAAAAGCAACATGGCTCCCTGCCTAATGTCATTCTAATAAAATCTCTAATTCGGAAAAACTCTGCCCAGTTAGATACTTGCTTTGGGACTTTGGCATTTGGCCTTCTCTTTCTTGCTTCTATTTTAAAATATATTATCTGGGACTCCTCGTATTTAAAAGTTGCTAACGTTGTTATCATTTTTGTAACTGTGACTAAATAAGTGTTTATTTAATTTCCAAATAACTTAGATCATATCCCATTTCTATAAGCCATTAGCTTCAAAATTCCATAGAAGAGACTACAACTGCTGCCTTACCAAGGTACAAACCTGTAACAGGACTGTGAGGCTTTCCAATAACATGGCCAATACATTCATTCATCAATGACTGCAAACTCTGGGGTAAAAAAACACAGAAAAAAAATTGAAAGTTATACTGCTGTATCTTCAAATCATGAGAAATGAATAGATTGGGAACCCATTATGTTAATTTAATGTAAATTAAGCCATTAATTAATAAATAAGGATAAACTATTCAAATCCTTTTTTAGTACGGCAGCTACTAGTTTCATATATAGTTGGCAATGTTTATCCATTTGAAATGTATGATTAATTAACAGCATACCAAGAAATCATCTTCAGGCAGAGCAGAAATAAAGGCTGGTTCAATGGCTTGAAGAAAATCAAACCCCTGTGTTGCCCACCTGTCCAACAGAAAGAAATTATTGGTTGATGTTTATACCAAAAATTCTATTTATTGAGAACACAGCTAATCCTCAACTTTTGACTGCAACTGGAACCTGAACTTTGGTCACAAATTATTGTGGTCATAAATCAAGGCACTCATGTGACTGGATCAGATATTTCTTTTACTGATTTTACCGCAGTTTTTAAGCAAATCACAGTTGCACTTCTGAATCACATGGTTGTTAAGCAATTCACATGGTCGTTAAGGAAATGACATGATGAATGAACCCATTCTCCCAAACAGGATTTTTTTTTTGTCAGAAGCCATCAAATTACATGACTGCAGGGCGCAGAAACCAGTCATAAATTGAACTGGTTGAAAAACCCCTGAAATGTGCCCATGTCAGTGTAAAGCACCCATTCTGAAGCCATCGTAACTTTGAATGATCATTAAGCAACCAGTTATAAGTTGAGGACCACCTATAATAATTCTTTGTTATGCTACCTAAGTCTTGCCTTTCAAGTATTTATAATTTAAATAATAGGATTAATTCAAGGTTGCATACCTAAAGCTACTTTAAAACTATTGATCAGAAACAGTGCAGTAATGTCCACATGTTTAATTAAAGGTGCTTTACAAAAAGAAATCAGGTGATCCCTCAAGTTTTTCTAAGGTTGTTTTTTTAGATGAAAAATAAGATTCAGCAAAAATTATCAAAAACCCCTTCAAATAGGAAAAAACTGAATTTGGACTGAGGGGGGAAAAAAACCCAGAATAGAGCTCAATCCTGAAAACACAGTGGGCCTTGGATATAGGTCAATTTGGCATTTTTGCTTTAAATATACTGAATTATTCATGCCTTAATCACCTCCTGCTACGAGTCCTGCAATATGCTTTATGTGAGGCTGTCCTGGAAAAGCATTTGGAAGCAGCAAGTGGAATATGTGGCAGCCTGAGTAGTGATGGGTATATCCCATTTTGCTCAGGTGACCCTGCTGTTTGGAAAGCTGCACTGGTTGCCAGTGGGCTTCTGGGTACAATTCAAAAGTGTTGATATGACCTTTAAATCCCCACATGACATCGAACAGGTTATCTGTGAGAATATCTCCCAGGTTCATCTGCCCATCCAATCAGGTCAAATACAAAATGCAACCTGATGGAATTTTGGAATGTGGCATTTTGGCTTTCTACCTCCATGCACTGGAACTCGGGCCCACAGAGATCTGATCTGCTCATTCTGTCCTCGGTTTCGGGAGAGCAACTTATACCTAGGTATTTCACACATGCAGGAGGAGGCATGCCGTGAGAAATTGGTAGGTACATAATTTTGTCTATTTTTTTTTTTGACATGTTTATTATTTTTGTTTATATTGTATGTCAACTTATCCATTATTTTCAAGGTTACTGTAATCTATGTAAGGATTGAAATTGTTAGCCACTTTGGGAATAGGCAGTAACTAAAGCAAGCAGGCAAGCAAAGTATGTTCTTTATCCCATGTAAGGTACTGAATGGCTTGGAACAAATTGTTGCAGTTGGAAACCACAACCTTGATTAGGATCAGGCAAGGAGATACTGATATCTATTCTTCTTCCTTCAGACTTATTAGCCCCACCCCAGTAGTGGGTTTCAATTCCCGGCGCTACCGGTTCGCTACTGGGAGCGTGCGCATGCTTTGCACACATACAGCGCTTCTGCGCATGTGAAGGTTCTACACATGTGCAGAGCATTTTTGATGACGTCTGGGTGGGTGGGTGGAGCCTCCCACCGCCACCACTACCGGTTCACCCAAACCGGGGCAAACCGGTAGCAACCCACCACTGCCCCACCCCATCAATTCCACGATATCTCTAGTCATAACCATTATTTTTTTAAATAAGTATATCAGAAAGGAAGTTCTCATAGTAAGGACAACTAAATACTACAATACCACAATATACTTTCAATGATACTGTCACTTCCCATAGAATTCATGAAGTTCAAGTGTACTCTTAACTGAGGCAATAGTGACTACATTCTAAACTGCAGTGATTATTTAATACATGGGCACTGCATTGTTATTTAATAATTTAATCAACACTAATTAAAATCAATTACTCTTCTGTGTTTAAGATACACACTTCACAGAAATGAAAGGCACAGAAAACATTTTTAAAAAGCATCTACTTTGTCATTACCTGGGTCTGGTGCCTCGTCCACTCTCACATTTAGTGAGGACATAATTCATCCATTTTCTTGCAAAACTGATATACTGGTCTCCTATTTTCTGTCTAAATTCTCCAGACATTAGTCGGATGACTTCTTTGTGATACTGTAATAGATTTAAATGATCAGTCCAGATAATGAGCATTCATTCAATGGTTGGAACAGGCTAATGGTGCAAGTAAAGAACAATCAGACACAAATTATCCTACTTTGGACACATTATTCAAAGATCTAGCTCTTTGGAAAATTATAGGAAAGATGGAAGGAAAGAGAAGATGGTGACCAGCAGCAAGATGGATGGACTCAATTACAATGGTGATGGGTGCACTTTGGGAGTTACCTTGCTCTATGATTGACAGGTAATGGCATCTCCCAGAAAAAAAAAAAAAAAAGATTGGGGACAGCATCCAAATGTGGTTAGAACGTACCTCCCAATTTTTTACCTGAAAGTCTCATCCTGCTTCTCAGAACTGATCTAACGGAGATAAGAAGCAACTGCAAATGTTTTTACATGTCTGGATCTTACTAGAAAAATTAGCAACTGTTGGGATCGCTCTCCTACTTCTGGAACTTTCTAATAAACAACGAACAAAAGAGAAAGCCAATGCGGCACAGTGCTTAAGAGTTTAGATTGGAGGTGGGGAATGGAGAGACTCAAGTTCTAAATTCTCCCTCAGCCATGGAAAGATGACTTTGGGCTAGGCATTCTTTCTCTCAGCCCAACCTTCTTCACAGAGTTCTTGTTATGGGGGAAAATGGGAGGGAGGAGTGCTTTGAAGGCTGTCCTGAGCTTCTAAAGAAAAAGATGGGGCATACCTTTAGCTAACAACAAACAAGTCTGAAAGCACATTGCCCGCACTATAAGCACCATTGGAATTGATTGCTTTTAAAACAGAAAGATCAACAATATATTCCAAAATGCAGCAGTTTCTGTCAAAGCAGGCAAGATTAGTCTTTTTTGTCATGCACCAATATACAACACGGCTAAGAGCCGAGGTGGCGCAGTGGTTAGAGTGCAGTACTGCAGCTACTTCAGCTGACTGCTAGTTCAGCAGATCAGCGGATCAAATCTCACCGGCTCAAGGTTGACTCAGCTTTCCATCCTTCCGAGGTGGATAAAATGAGGACCCAGATTGTTGGGGGCAATATGCTATTTAGTATACTGTCTTTGGTGTAAGCCGCCCAGAGTCCTCGGAGAGTGGGCGGCATAGAAATATGAATAATAAACAAACAAACAAACAAACACTGAATTGTCAACAACCACAACAACAAAAACCCAGCTTTGGTTTTCAAAAAAGCATGTATTCTGATCATGATAAATACTGTGTTTATACATTAGATTTGTATTCTGCCTTTTGCGGAGCTCAGGGTAATGTGCATAGCATTTATTTATTTATTTTGTATCCTGGGCCTTTATTATTTTACAAACAACTTAAGGCAATGAATACTTTTCTCCTCTTATTTTCCCCATAACAACAACTCTGTGAGGAGAGTTGGGTTGACAGGAACTGTCTGGTCCAAGATCACTGAACTGGCTTTCATAGCTAAGGCAGGACTTGAACTCACGGTCTACCACTTGCTAGCCTGGTGCCTTAACCACTAGACAAAACTGGATCTCTTCAATTCATGCTTATTTTCCCTCACAACAACCACCCTCCGAGGTAGAATAGGCTGAGAAAAAGTGATCAGCCCCAATCATTTACTCAGAAACTGAGATTTCTCATTTCCAGTCTGTCACCTTAACTATTATATCATCTGAGCTCTTCTCCCCCCCCCCATGTTTAATGTAATAGCTATAAATAGGCTGAGGTGAAGTAACAGTTTGCCAATGTTTACTTAAAATATATGACTTCCTTTTTTTCTGAAAAGGCAAAAGAAATTTCTCTTGGACCTACCTCAAAGCCGAAGTTGTAACACTGAATCATGGCTTCTCTATAATATTGCTGCAGGGTGGCAGATTCTGATTCATCAAGTTCAGCATCAAATTCGGAAGTGAACATATGATCAACTCTATCGATTGCGCTGCTGATCTTATTGCACAGGTGTAAAGCATCACTCTGGAAAATGCGGAAAAAAGCTCTGCTGATATGTTTGGAACGTAAAGACATATAATTCTGCTGTAATTTACATACACATAACAATACTAGTAATAAACATGAATGCCTACATCTTTGCTATTTAGATTATTAATCTAGAATTGAAGGGTATATTGCAATCCTATGCAGGTAGACCTCAACTTAGAGCCAGTTATTTAACAACTGTTCAGAGTTACGACAGGAAAGGATGCTTTACAGTCAATAAAGTACTTCTGGCCATTGTAAAATATCACTTCGGCTCTCCTGCATCAAATTTACGACTGGTTGTAGTGTTCTGCAGTCATTCAATTTGCCAGTTTCTGGCAAAAAATGCCCATTTAGGAGGATGGGTTCAAACTTACAACTGATTTGAACCTATGACCATGTTATTTACTTAACGACCGCTGTAAAAATGGTTATAGAATCAGATGCAATCATCTAGGTGCCTCAACTTATCACTGTCATGACTTATGACTGAAATTCTAGTAACAATTCTGGTTGTAAGTCAGGGACTACCTATATTCTGGTCGTTAAGTCAAGGACTACCTGTATAAATTTACCTAGAGTTAACCTCATTGAAATTAATAGAATTACTTCTGTTGAAGTGTGTAGAAATATAATATTAACAACTAAAAAAAATTCATCAGTAATATGGCATGTATTCTTTTGGCAGATATATTTGACTACGAGTTGTGGTGAAAACTTTTATGTCTCTTACACACACTTCATAATTATATTTATGTGTAATTTCAGTCATGTTAGGAATATGCTGATAACTCCTCAAAGACACATAGTTTTGTTTTTTTTTAAGATTATGTTTCCACTTCCTATTATGCAGCACTTATGGAAATGTTTTGAATATGTATCAAAATAGAGACAGTTGTGCTGCAATCCATACAGAATGTCACATTCAACTTATTTGCAAATCCTTAATCCAAATTCATAAACTCTCAACAGTTCTAGACAATTTATAAAATTATAAATATCATTCTGTAAAATTGCAGGGCAAATATTGCCGTACTGACTTTCTATGGAAAGCAGATCTAAGTGGTTCATTATATATTTTGAAATGACAAATGAATTAGAATCAACAGCAGACCCCAAGAGAGTGCAACTATGGTCACTTTACCACCTGTGATCTAAACTCTGGAATTCTGGAAGCTGAAGTCCACAGCTCGTGAAAGGGCCCTAGCTGTGCGCCCCTGGCCTAGGAGATAATAAATTAGAAAGTGCTGTACCTTCAACTGTTGTAAAGCTGTGGCAATTTCTGGTTGGCTGGAAGTTTGCTCCTGCTGCAAAGAGATCAGTCCTTCAAGTAACTGCTGAAAGGCTTTTCTCTGGTTCACAAGATGAACCGGCTGCATTACCACAAGGAGGAGGTTGTCAACCTAGAACAAAAGGTAACACAGCGTTGCTGAAAATAGAATTCAAATTATTTCATGCACTCTAAATATTCCAAGGATGGAACTTTTCTTCCCAGAAAATTAATCATCTTAACGAGAATCAGTTACAGATTTGGATTTACTAAAGGCTTCTCTCATTATGATCAATTAAGAGCAATTTTATAAATAGAAGCAGGTTTCTATGCATAGGGTTTGTCCAAATATTTACTGGAAGTTGCTAATAGAGGAATGAGAATCTTTTGTGCTAAAAAAAGAAGTGTTAATTATTCCATTTGTCAAAAGGCCGTCATTCTCACTGGAATTTTAATTACACTTACGTGTGTTGTTTCTTGAGGAAATTAAAGAAGACGAAAGGTTTGTTTACAACATGAAAATACTACCCAACTTTTATTTGTGCCTTCAGATTATGACTGTCAGGCAACTGCCTAGACAAATCCCTGCAGATTTATTGACAATGTTTTTCAGAAATGGTTGGCTGTGACTTCTTTTCTAGGGGTAAAGAGTGTGTGACTAGCCCAAAGTCACCCAGCTGGCTTTGAGCCAAAGAAAGGACTAGAATTCACTGTCTCCTGGTTCCTAGCCCAGCCCATTAAATCAGACTGGCTCGATAACATATTTAGAATGTCTAACAAGGGAAACCCACATTATTAAATATCCAGGACCTTATGGTAGTAATATTTCAGATATAATTTAGAACACATTAAGCATCACCCAGCATTTGAGTCCATGTATTAGCTAACACAGAAAGACTTTACCTGCATACTTCCTAGTGTATTAATAGTTTCCACTTGAGGAACTATTTTGATTGGCTGGCCTTCCCAAGTGCTCCAGCTATCATCAAATTCTTGGTCTTTTTCACTGTATTTTGTCATCAGTAAAAACGATTCCCCTGTGACCTCATCAGAATCTTTCGAGCAATCCTTTCCAGCAGCTGCATTAAGCAACTGCAAGATAAGAGATTTTTCCTGTGCAAAAGTATCTGGCACGAAGATTTGTAAATTTTCAAGCCCAGGAATTTGTACCTGTAAAACAAATGAAAATGGTCAAAACTATTAACAAGGAGATCGATATCTCATTTTCATAATTTTCTGTTTGTAATCACTACACTCACCCCCCCTCCCCCAGCCTCCAATACAGACTGCTTTGGTTTCTTTGATGTGCAAAAAGTTTTCGGAGACTTAATTATGGGAGTTCCTCTGAACTGGGACAATTCCAGTTGCAAAAAATCTTTATATCGTCATTACCTGGTTGCTAGCAATCTAGAAACAGCAGACATTTATCTTCCCATGTAGTATATTTAAGCTGCCATCCATGTATCCGAATTTCTGGGTAAACTCAAGGACTCCTTCTATTAATATTCCCATGCTACGTAGCCCCCGGACTGATTTTTACCTTTGTGTACTGCTGTGCTTTCAGAGCAGCAAGGAAATCTCTCACAGAGGCAGATAATGTGAACTCCGCTGCTATTTCAAGGTCCTACAAATATGGTGAGAAAAGTACATTTTGTTACAAATGAATGGCTTAGCATGAAATTGCAACTGGATTCGGTCTAATTTGTTTACCTTTCTTAATCTCTTGGCAAAGCCAAGAGCTTTCGATGCTCTCTCTCTAGCTTCATGAAATAGCTCTTTCAATGCCCGGCTAGTTTCTATAACAGACCTCCTACAAAAATCAAACAAAATGCATTCACGATACCTTTCATTTCAATATTCCAATTTGGAAAAGAGCATGCAAGTGAAGATTAGAAGGCAAATATGTGCAAACAAGAAACTAAAAATGTAATTACAATTGCTAAAGTATATATTTTATTTACAGGCAGTTCTTGTTAGTGATCACAACTGGGACTGGCAACACACTCATGAAACAAAATAATCATCAGGGAAACAGCAACAGTGCTTATGATCTTACTTCAGCTTTCCTTTGCTTTGCAGTCCCAAAAAGGTTGTACATGTAAATAATCGTTGTAGAGTTACTTTAGATAATTGACGTATTAGCAGTCACTAAATCAGGCAGTTGATAAACAAGGATAATCTTTATTGATTATACCTATTAATATAGCTGCCAATCTCAAAATTATGATTCTAGGTGGCACATATAGAATTACAACCAAACACAACAGCAATTTATAATGAAATAATATCAGGCGAGGATGAACCTAACTGGAATCACTAAAAGCACAATATCCCAATGATGCAGTCACCTATTATCCAGATGTGCTGCACAAAAATTGTTCTCCTTGATGTTGATGTATTTATAAAAATAAAATAAAAAACGTATTTAAAAAAATGTTCTCATCTTGACTATATTCCTCATTAACTCTAATCAGTATCAACAATGGTGCTTTATTCATATATGAACATTTTTCGAGGAGGAATACCTGATTTCATCTGAAGCAACACTGTCATCAGCACTAGCCCAAAATTCATTACAGCTCTCTTGTAAGCCAGAGTCCAAAAAGATTCCTGTTGATTTTAATAGTACTCCTGCAATGTCACTGCAACAAAAATAAAACAGTCACTTCTGAGAAAGTTTACGCACCAAAAAGTTCCTTTCCTGGAACTATAATAGAGATAAAGGAACAATGGCCCTCCAAACATTGCTCACTGCAAAACCTAACATTTCTCAACCCAGACTGACTCAGGCCTTGGAAATTATGGTTCGGCAAAGCCATGTTCTGCATCTATGCACTACAAGGTAATGCAGCAATTCGGATATAAGCATATATTTAAATTCCTCCCATCTTATTTTTTTATTCATCTTATTTTGAACAAAAAAAAAAAAGAGTAAACAGGGGAGTAAAAGCTAAATTAAAGATACATTCATAGAAAAAAGATTAATATCCTTTTTTCATTTATTTACATAAGATGTAAATAAAGCTGTCGGATAAAATCAAATATTTCTGATTCTGATTTCAAGGGGGTTGAGGATTTTTTTTAAAAAAATATATAGCTAAGAAAATTGCCACCACTTTTAGTACATGAACTTAATTTTGCATTAAGAATTTTCATCACAGATATATTTAATTATAAACACTTTCTGTACATGGCTAAATACAGCACACATAAACAGCCATGTGCCACATTTGCATTCCAGGAAGCAATAGATCAGGGGTCTACAAACTTGGCAACTTTAAGACTTGTGTATTTCAACTCTCAGAATACCTCAGACTGCATATTGCCAAATCAGGAGACCTCTGCAAGATTACAAACTCTGCCCTGTAACTTTGTTTAATTTGTAAAAGAATAACATTGTATTTTCTCAGTAAGATATTTCTGTGCCAAAACATAGGATAAGTGTTTTGGAAAAGAGCAGCAAATGAAAATCAGCACTCCTGGATAGGCAAATTTCTTGGCCATACTTTAATGAGTTTATTTGACTTATGTGGAACAGTGTGTGAAAAAAGAAAATATTAGCACCAAGAACAGAGCTAAACAGTAAGTAGACGTATTTTGAATAAATAATTGGCTTCCATTAAAATTATTCAAGTAAAATTAATATCAAACTAGAAGTGTTAGTTATCATTAAAAAGATCAACTTTCAATTTGACGGAATATAAAAATTGGGAGACATATAAGCAACTTATTAAAAAATATTACAATTGTTGATGGAAATGTAGTATTAAAAAGTCATAGTTTGGACTTTAAAATAAATCCCAGAAATTTTAAACAGAAACTAAGGTATGAATTTTCACTTATTGAAAGAAAGTAAATCAATACAAACTAACAGAAGATTCATAGTAATAATGCAATTCTACCAGAATAGTTGTCCAGCTTGAGCTTCACCTCCTCGTATATAAGGCGTTATTTCTTTGGTGAAATTCCATTCTTCTTCCAAAAGATTCTTTAAACTATGAGATGCCTGAGGTAACTGCTGTAGCATTTGGATCCAGCTTCCCATGTAATCAAAATAAACCTTGAAACCCAGAGGAAAGAAAGAAAGAGTAGGGAAAGCCATTTAAAGAACAAAGACAAATCCTCATCCATAATATCTTGTTAGATTTCTAAAACTGAACATTGCTTACAATTCTCCTCTCTCCAATATAGAATCCTTTTATCAATTCTCATATTCCTGGCATAGAATTACAGTCCCCAACTTCCATGCCAATCAAGAGACAGAATTCCTCAAAAACTACAGAGGCGCCTCATTGGCTTGGAAAAGGGGTACTTTCACATAAGGAATTGTGTACAGGTAGTCCTCGACTTACAACCGTTCATTTAGTGACCATTCAAAGTTATAACAGCCCTGAAAAAGTAACTTATGACCATTTTTCACACTTATGACCTTTGTAGCAGCCCCAAGATCATATAATCAAAATTCAGATGCTTGGCAACTGATTCATACTTATGACTGTTGCTGTGTCCCAAGTTCATGTGATCAGCTTTTGCAACCTTTTAACAAGCAATCCAGATTCACTTAACAACCGTGTTACTTATCAACTGCAATGATTCGCCTAACAACTATGGAAAAAAAAGGTCATAAAACGGGGCACAACTGAACAAATGTCTCACTTAACAACATAAATTTTGGGTTCGATTGTGCTCATAAGTTAAGGACTATCTGTACTTAATTCAATCAACAGCACTGGTCTACTATAATGTGTATTAAATGGACCTTCAACATACCTGGATCTTTTAACACCAAAAAGAATCTACTGGTCACTCATACAAATAGACTTATTACTGTCAAGAGCTGCACTGAAAACTGAAGCAAGGTTTTCTGCCTGAGAGAAAAATACATCACTTTCTCTGTGGGTCTAGTTATCCTGGAAGATGATAGAAGATAATATGCATTCCTTCAATTCTGCAGGGCCAGGAATATCAACAAAGAGTAAGCTCCCTGCAGTTGCTCTTTTTGGATGGGGTCATGTTAACTTCTTATCACAACATCCTTCCTAGAAAGGATACATGGTTCTAACCATGTCCCAAAGATGCTTTTTCAAGAGGCAACTGGACTTTCTGGTTTTTCTTTGAAGACGTTTCACTTCTCATCCAAGAAGCTTCTTCAGCTCTCTTGAGAAGAAGCAAAACTTCTTCAAAGAAAAACCAGAAAGTCCAGTTGCCTCTTGAAAAAGTACCTTTGGGACAACCATGATCTGGATGACTGAGAATCTCCATAGACATTCTAACCATGCCTCCCTCTGAAACAATATTTCCTTCTGAGTCCAGATGATCTTGATTTTTTAAGGGTTGGAAGACCTAGTTTTCCTCATAGGTACACGATCAAATTTGTCAATCTGTCTGGTTCGAGTTTTACAATGGTTGTACCATGTTTTCCCGAAAATAAGACCCTGTCGTATATTTTTTTGAACCCTGAAATAAGCGCTTGGCCTTATTGCCATGCACTCAAAAGCCCAATTGGGCTTATTATCAAGGGATGTCTTATTTGGTGGGAAACAGGATATATCCATGGCATAATCTGTCATCATTTAGTGCATTTTATGACTGTTTGCTCCCTAATGTTAATATTCTTTACCTTGACTGTTTTCAACAGGATGGCTATAAATATATTTACTAAATATAAACAAGCAAACCCTTAAAGGCAGATAGATAGATAGATAGATAGATAGATAGATAGATAGATAGATAGATAGAGTTAAAATACAAAACGCAGGTTTTTGCAGGCTAGGAAAGTACTTTGTTAATTGACATAATCTAAAAATAACCAAGCGGAACTTGAATCACCAGATGTTACACTGAATTGTGAGTTACCATTAACATCTTATGCAAGTCTTCTTCGAAGGAGTCGATGTTGCAGTGCTTCTGAAGGTCATCAACAACCTCACGTAACATAAACTGGTAATATTGCTTCATCAGGAGGCCACCTTTTAGAACCTCTCTACACTCGCGCACTAGCTGCAAGAGAACAGTCCATAAATAGTACACTGATCAATCTGGTGTTTTTATGCTGCAAAATGCAAAGATGTTTCTAAAGAGCAAACTCTATAAATATCTGTCCTCTTAAGATCTGCTGGTACATGAGACAAGCACCCCACAAAAAGAGTGATGCAAAATAAAACCCAATTGGTAGAACATCTGATGTCTGCAGGGTATGAATCTAAGCCCCTTGTCATCCATTTCCCATCTTCACAAGGCCTCTTGCTGTAATGTTTTATCTCATGGAATTTGGCAAGTACTGTTATCCCTCTACTGTCTGCATTTTTTTCATATTTGCTTGAATACTGAATAGTTGAAGTTTTCATTTAAGACCAAAGCAATAAGTTTATTTTTTCTTGGAGGAGTACTATCTATATCAAAAGGCCATTTTTGTTATCAGCCTAAATCTTTTTTTATTATTGAATGACATAGAAATAATATTTATTTTTAATTTTTGTTACTATTAAATTTATTTGCCACCCATCTTGTTTCAAACAACTTTGGGTGGCTAGACAAAATGAAATCATGACCCCAAAGATGGAGAAGCAGGGAGCTGGTGGGGGAGGAGCTGGAATTAGCCCTTAATTAGTCAACCATTTACAAATATATAAATTAGTCAATAATGTATAAATATATTTTACATATATGATGTTGAAATTTTTAAACATTATGCAGCATGCATATCTTCATCTAGCATTACAGCATAAATTCTCCAAAGTTAGAAAATACATGAATAGTTTCACTAAGAAGCCATTTTATTTAATTTGGGGAAAAAAGAGATTGCTTTTATGCCCTCTGCAGAATCCTCTGTCCTCCCTCTTTTCAAAACATAAAAATCAACGTCATATAGCTATTTTCCTGAAGCACTTATCATTTGTGGATAATGTAGAAGTTGCACAAGACATTGTTTTTTTCACTTTAGATAAAATAATTATTTCTAAGCAATGAGCATTTGTCGCAAGCAATGTTCTTGCTCATTATTTTGTGAGCAGCCTCTGGACTACAGCAGAGAATTGTGAAGATACATTTTTACCTGCCACCATCCTAACATTACAGAATAAAATAAAATATGACAAGCAAACCTGCTTAATACTCAAGAGGGATGGCTCCCCAGCAGGCTGCTGTTCCAATCTTAATTTGAGACACTCGTGGATAACATTGAGAAGAACTCGGCAAAGAACCAGAAAGGCAGGTTCAAAAGATGGCAAATCCATAGATTTCAACTCTTCCCATGATACAGTACTGCATTTTTGATCTGAAGAAGCCGGAGAATTTGACAACTGCACATAATCTGAACATAAAATGGGATCTGGGTATTCAGAAAACTAACAGCAATAAAAGAGAGAAAGAGAGAATTTGGTGATTAATTTAGTCTCTTCTTTGGAACAGTACATTTTTATAAACCACATATTAACTTTGAAAACTGCTGAAAATACATGAAGCAAAACCACCTTCTGTTTAAACCGCATCCTATCCCTGCAGATAAATGTTTCAAGAAAGGTCTCTAGGCCAGCAGTCACCAACTGGTGGTCCACGAGAAAATTTTGGTGGTCCGCAGAAAAATTATTTGCATTTTTTATATTGCACTAAATACTATTTATCTTTTTAAAAAAAATCATATTAGTGGTCCGCGGGATTTAAAATTATGAATTTAGTGGTCTCTGAGGTCCGAAAGGTGGGTGACCCCCTGCTCTAGGCTATACAGCATAGATGCTGATATTCAAAGTATGCTACCTCTCCTCCCCCAATAAAAAAATCCCTTTTGGTGCAAGCATGGGAGTTAGACTGGAACTAAACAACTGGCTGCTCCAGAAAAGTAGCAACATAGGAGTAATCAGGCTTGTAGCAATGATACATAACCAGCATGGTTGCTAGATTTACAAGAAACACATTTTCTAATACACATCTGGCAGCTTTACCCAAGGAAAATTGTTTTTAACAGAAATCCATGTAAAATTATTATTAAAATACCAGCAATGTCTAAACATCTTTAGGCTTGTCTTTCTTGGGTCTACATAAGAGAGCCACAGAGGCAGCCAATAGCTGCTATTTTCACTCTGGACTGGGATGGTATCATTATATAGCACAATGGGAAAATTAAAACAAGAAACCAGTGAACCAGAATACCTGGACAGTACAGAGAAATGCTGGGGAGGTGAGCCATTGAGGCTCCAGCACATCTCCCAGAGTGCCAGATGTTGATGATAAGGATTAATATGAAGAAAGCTCTTGCCAGTTTTCACATCCTACTCCATAATAGTAGGAACCAAACTACTGATCAAATGTAAACTTCATGTACCAGACATTCATCAGCATGCATATAAACGAAACATATGCAAAACATCAAGCAAAGGAAAAGTTTCCCTTGATTGGGCCTGATAAGAGTGGCCTATGATAACCCTCAGTTTTTTTGTGGGATGTTTTCTTGCTGCCCAGTTGAGCCTACATAGCCTGAGGGGACGGTGGGGCTCTCATTCTAACCATCCCCAACTTTGCTCCCAAACCTAATTTTCATTGGCCAGTGCTGCCATTTGCTGAGGGAATGAAAATATAGAGAGAAAATGCTATAGAAAAAGAGAAGCAGACTTACCTGGTTTAGAATCTTCTTCAACTATCATGTCTAAAAATTTAAATAAAAGTAGGTTTTACCCCAGTCCCAGGAACTAAGGATAAATTATTCTGCAAAATGGACTCAGTTAAAACCTTTTCTAAAAAAAAAAAAAACCCCAGTCTTTGCTTTTTCAATTGTCTTCTTCGGATCCCATATATTTTCCTAAATATTCGCAATTCTTTATAAAAATAAGACAATAATTTAACACTCTGTTAAAAACTACTTACAAGTTAAAACAATCATAATCTTTATCCACATTATCAAAATCTGCAGTGAAACAGATCAGATACCAGGAAAAACAATCAAATTGTTATGTCTATGGAGGAATTTACATAGAAAGGTAGCAGCATTTTTCTCCACCTACAACATTCAGAGGTTAAAAATCCTGCTTCAAGACACTATTTGCTTCATGATAATTACAGTAACATAATTCTATTTTATGGCTGATTTGAAATTACAGTGATTATTAAACTTTAAAAAAAAAACAAATTTGAGAGACATGGTATAATAAAACATTCATATACTGTATTTTTTGTTCCATAAGACACACCTGACCATAAGACGCACTCCCGTTTTTGACCCCTTTGCGTCCCATCTTTGGTCTCCTTGCATCCTGTTTTCGGCCTCCATGTGTCCTGTTTTCGGTCTCTGTGCGCTGTTTTTGGCCTCCACACATCCCATTTTTGGCTTCCATGTGCCCTGTTTTTGGCCTCTGTGCGCCCCATTTTCAGCCTCAAAACAGGGCACGCAGAGGTCAAAACAGGGCATGCAGACGCAAAAAATGGCCGAAAGATGGGGGCCAGCGGGTAGGCGGGGCTTCGGCAATATTCGCTCCATAAGATGCACAGACATTTCCACCCACTTTTGGGAGACAAAAGAAGTGTGTCTTATGGAGCGAAAAATACAGTATATGGATCTTTATATGATAACCATGTAAATTATACAATACAAATTAATATTTGAGTTTTTATCATAACAAAACAAAAACTGTCAGACTTCTTCCATATCAAAAATATTTCCAGGAATCTGACACCAATGTGACATTTAAATGCACCCTCTACTCATCCAACCTGTAGGCTATATGCTTGAGTACTTCTAATACATGCAAACCCAAAAGAAATTGGGTTTTGGGGGGGTTAAGCGTGCAAGACAAGACTGGGATATCAAAAATTAAATTCTCTTGTAAATCATTAAAACAACTGAATGATTTTGGTTAGCTACTCTCATCCAGCATAATCACAAAATTCTTGTGCGAATAAACAGGAGAGGAAAAAAATAGACAGGCTTCTAGAACTACTTGGAGGAAGAGCAGAATATAAGTATAGTAATGTATAATGTTTTTGTATTAATTATTTTGAATTTAAATGTATTTAAAATATTCTGTTTACTGTATCTTAGCTCTCACAGGACTTCCTGGTAAGGAAGGATTGGAACATTTATTCATTTTTTTTCATTTTGTGTAAAATTACCTTTCAGTCTAAAGAATATCCTTTCTCCCACAATCAAAATCACATCAGAAAACAATAAAGTAGCATAGATAATATTCTGTGAAAAACTTTCATTTCTAGCACCTGGCCATTATTACTCCAATAAGGCCTGTCCCATGTTATAGGGCCATTAGTATCATCACTAAGAAAGGAGGAAGAGAATGGGAGAAATTGAATACCTAGTGCAGCGGCCCACAACCTTTAGGGCACCAGGGACTGATTCTGTGGGGAGTTTTTTCTGTGGACTGGAGGAGGCGTGGTGTCATGTGCTGCTTGCATCCCGTGAATGGGGCTTTGCTTGTTTATGCGGACCAGTTTCTGGCATGCTGCAGACAAGTGCTGGTCCCCAGACCAGGGGTTGCAACCCTTGATGTAGTGAATTCCCACTAACCTTTAACTGTCAGGAAATTGATACAGGTAGTCCTCGACTTATGACAACTGAGCCCAATATTTATGTTGCTAAGCAAGGCAGTTGTTAAGCAAGTTTTGCCCCATTTTACAACCTTTTCTGCCACAACAGTAGTTGTTAAGTGAATCATGCAGTCATTAAGTGAAACTGGGTTCCTCCATTGATGGTGCTTGTCGGAAGCTGGCTAGGAAGGTTACAAATAGCGATCTTAACTCTGCAACAGTGCAACTACTGTCATTCCTGTTGCAAAGCGCCCAAATTACGATCATGTGACCAAGCGAATGCTGCAATGGTTGTCAAGTGTGAAAAGGGGTCATAAGTCACTTTTTAAAGTGCCATTGTAATGTTGAACGATCACTGAATGAATGGCTGTAAGTCAAGGACTACCTGTGTAGGCTCTGTTGTGGCTTTTCTGTAGTGCCAGACACAGAACTGACAAGGAAAGACCACATATATATTACATTATGTTTCACCTGATAATGTCACCATTACTAAAGCAAGTCAACATGGTTTAGCATGGTTTGAACTATATATGCATTTTTACATAGAAAAACTTTTTGAAGAAAAACATTGCTTTAAAAGGACTATTGCTTGAGCATCATCCATTCCACCCGCCTCCCCAAACCTACCTCTAGCTGCTGATCGCTCTTTATCAATGCCATTCGGGCCCTCTGCAAGGAGCCATGCATTAACTTGTGCAGTCTTAAAATGAGTTTCCTCAACCCCATCTGTTTCAGTGCTTTATCTACAAATGGCCTATAAATAGAGGTGAAACAAGGTCTGCCATAGCCTGTCTCTCTGCTGGACTCCGTAACTGCCCGGCAGGTTGAGTCATCTTCAGATTCAAGCCTATCAAGCTTTCTTGACAAATGTTCCTGTGCCTCAAAGTCAAAATTTGTATTGGCAAGATTATTCCGGAAGGCTTGTCTGAGTTCCTCCATTTTCTCCTCAGAGATTTGTTCTTCATCTTCACTTTCCTCTGTGCATGCACCTGAGGTTACCCTATCATCATCATCGTCTTCATCGTAAACTTCATCCTCTGGATCATTGTCCCTGAATGAACGAGGAGAAGGGATTTCAAACACTGGCCAGCCAATGTCAGAAAGATCCTTGATGCCCAAAAGAGTCCCCATAATCCTTAGTTTCTGGTTTAAATCTTTTGTAATGTTTAACCAAAGACAAAGTGCCTGCACCCTGTCCTGAAAATCCCTTGCAGCATATTTTTCATAGTCACTTTGAAGGGCCTTCAGAGATGGATAAAGTGCTTCTACGTATTCTAGCAGCTCCATTATCCGCTTTACCTGTTCAAAAGAGACCCGCTGGCGATGGAGGTGCTCGTGATAGCTTGAGTAGCCCATTACATTAGCTCCATGGGCTGCTTTACACTGTCTTGCCGACGTACCATTAAGACTAGCTCCATTTCCCACACAGGAGAGGTTCCGATAGTTTACCTTGAAAGTAAAAATTTCATTGATAATATCAGGGATGGCTTGACGAGCTGTGTACAAATAGAAGTCTTGGTCCTTAATAGTCCGCCCTGCATGCCATGCCTGCAGTTCAAGCCAGATTAATTCATTGGATCGGTTTAATTCAACAGAGGAAGTGCTTTCCTGGCCTTTCTGCTCTTTGTCCTTTTTCTTGGAAACTGAGGTAAGCTTTAGCAATAGCCGCAGGGTCTCAAAAAATTTTAAGCGATCTGCTGGGTAATCGGTACGAGACGTCTGGCGTGTAGTTTTGGCTATAGGCACGGGTACAGATACTGGAGGCTTAGCGTTGCTGCAGCCAAGGCTGAGGTAAGGCTTATTGAGATCAACATCCGGAATCGACTTTTTTGGTAAGGACCCACTAACTGAGTCCAACATGAATGAACACTGTACGTTTTTCTTGTGATCCCTCTCAGTTGTCCTTAGGGTGGCTCGGATCTTTTTCCCCTGCTTATAGCTGTGCTCTTCTGAGTTCTCGGAGATTTTAATATTATCTTTGTTAGGCAGCTGGTTGGGTGAGCTCATTTTCTCTGAAATCATAACACGAAACACATTTTTTTCACATGCTTTTTTTAAAAAAACACACCTAATTTATACTAATTTTATTTATTCTATTCTGTAAGTGTTCAGTTTTGTTGTATGCTAAATGTACATGACACATTTATGACAGTCCCTTAAAATTATGTAAAAGGTTCAAAACCTAATAGATATCATACATAATTCAAATACCATTCAAATACTCTGCCCATGTTTTTATGTCTAGCGTCATAAATTTATGAAACACTGGAACACAGGCATCCAATAGAAACCACATTGATGTCAAACATCACATCATGTCAATTATGCAAATTATGTAATTTGGCTCAGTCAAATCATGATGCAGATGGTGTACAGTACAGAATGTGCACTATTTATGTGATGACGTCATAAGACATACTACATCATTCTCCATCTGCCTTCCTATGATATCTATATAGTACAGATTGTTACCTGGTACTTAGCTGTGTCCACAAATTAGGATGATAAAACGTCTTAGTAGTTATGAGAATGGCAACAGGATAGTCATATCCCACTCGTTCAACCATAACACATTTATGTTCCAGTAATTACATCTAAAGTTATATGTGGCCAGATTTGAAACTCTGAATTATTAGGTTCCTGTCATTACAAAACCACATGCCGAATTAACTTTTTACTTAAAACTTCAGTTTTTTTGTGTTACTGCTATTTTTAAACAATGAGATAAACCTCAATTATCTGATTTAGTTATCTTAATTTCTGTACCTCTTCATTATGCTTTCCTAGTCATTCAACTTAAACCAAAATCTAACATGAGAATGAAAAAAACCGTATTTTATAAATATCCATGAATGTGTAAGTAGCAATAATTGATAACCACACCAAAGAGCTCTTTGAAACATACTTCACTCAAAATTCAAGGCACTCTGAGTCATTTTGTACCTAAGGGCATCATAATTATATTGTGGAGTTTTTAAAATAACAGGTTAATGGAAACATTCAGTTGTACTAATTGTAATCCTAAGAAGTGACCTCTCATTACAATTCTCTTTTACTATACATAGCAGTTGGAATCAGTGACTAAACAGAAGTCTTCAGAGCATAAGCCTTGATGGAATGGAGAGGAATCACATTTTTCCCCCTTAAAATTACTGATTAAATCTTTCTAAAACATATACACTATTGCATAAGAGCTAAAAGGCAAAACTATGAGGTTGTAAAATTAATCTCATTGATGCATAATTTCATTCAAATTGACATAAGCAACATCCCCTTGCTGAGAAAGATACTTGAGCAACTGATTAATTTTGTAGAACCATTTTGGTTAGTTTAAGCCTGGCCTTTCCATTGATGCTAGCGTATTAACCCTTAATCATCATCTTAATCTCTCTTAGCTGAAAGAAAAAAATGGAGGGTGACTGTGATGATTCTGTTGAACCTCTGAGTGGGCTTTTGAAATACTGATCATGATGTCCTTCTGTAGAGGTTGTCCAAGTTAGATGAAAGGAAACTCTATGCATGGCCGTGCTTGCACAGCATAGCCATCTCCTGAAAATGGTGCTGCAGGATTCTGCAAGGTTGCATTTTATCCCACATGCTGTTTAAAATCTACATGAAGCTGCTGAGTGAGATCATTTGGAGATTAAGAATAACGTGTCACCACTTTGCTGATGACACACAGCCGTCTGTTTTCATTAGCTCCAGGTGAAGCAGAAATATTAATTCAGTGCTGGCCACAGTAATGGGCTGGATAAAGGCTAACAACTTCTGTCCGTCTTGTCTGTCTCTCCATCCAGCATTTCTGGACAAGACAGAAATGCTGAGAGCAGATAAGTTTATCCAGGTGAACAATGGTCACCTTATATCTGGAAAGTGATCTACAACTCTTAAAAGATAAGTTGCACAGTTTGAGTATTCTTTTGGTCACTAAAGACCCAAGTGTCCTCTGTGGTATAAATTGTATTTTACCAACATAGGCTGGTAATGTATACCAACTATGGACCTTACAGCTTTTTATTTAGTTTACTATTATGTAATTTATCCTTTTAAACCCATATAAATGTACCTGGATCTACAAAATGCTTTTTATTACTGTCTTAACAACTAAGGTGCTAAGTGTTATGAATACTAAGGTGGACCAAGCTAGTTTAAATCTTCCTATCTTAGCAGACTGCATAGCATCCTATTTAGCAGAATTTCAGGTGTAGTAAAATTATGAGTTTATTAAATAATTCTCTTTTTCTATTGCTTTTTTTTACTGTAGATGAGATTTATAAAAAGTAGAACTTTAAAAGTATTCCACATTTTATTATCCTTAAAATAACTCTTAAAATAGGTCAGTGTTATACTGGTATTATCCCAAGAGCATGGCTACCTGCTAAGATAGGAAGATTTAAACTAGCTTGGTCCACCTTAGTATGGGGGGGGGGGAGTGCCTTCAATCATGGCTGATTCCTGGTGACTATCCCTGGTGGATATGTCCCCTCAGTTTTCTTGACAAAATTTCAATAGTAGTTTGTCCTTGCCTGTTTCTAGGGCTAAAAGGGGTATGACTCCTCCAAGGTCATCCAGCCAGTATCCTGCGTTAAATTTCAGTGCCTTAACTACTACACCAAACTAGCTCTCAATTAAAGACTATTATACTGTTATTTAGTGAAAGTGAAGACAACATTTTGCAAAATAGTCAGTAGATTATTTTATTTCCTTGGGAATAATCATGCATATTTGTCAAAATAATGTATATGCATTCAAGATGCATGACTTTTCTCTGCACAATCTTCCTTACATAAGCCCATGCAGAATTATAGAGCACCTGCCTTGCTTTAAAAAGATAAAACAGTTAAATAGTTCAGAGGGGTAAAAATGTCCTTTCTCTGTATCAGACAACTTTGGACAATCATTGCCTGTCAGAATAAATAATAACAAGCTAAATAGACAACTAGACAACTGGGACAAGCTGACTATCCACAATGCTATTTTCTTCCCATTTCTAATTGCTTTTAATATACTTTGTAACGAATTAACCCTCTTAATCCTGCTGCTCTGCTGTGCCAGTTGTATTGCAAAAGAGCAAGTGATGAGACAGAAATCTGAGGCCCTTTGATCTTCCCACTAACGCTTAGCCATTCTGTATCAGGAGTGGCAGAACAGTAGGCTCCACGGATGTAAGCTTGGCTATTCATTCTTCATCAAATGAAAAAGGGGAATGAAAGTTTTCTGCACATTCAGCAGAAGGGAAGACTCTATTGATTCTCCTTCCCCACAGAAATAGTTCATTTTTCAATTTTCACTGCATTGGATGAAAGCTCCCATTTTGTCTGTCTAATATAAATTATTAGATATACATACTATTACTATCTAATATGCATACTAATATAGTATGTCTAATATACTGGGGAAACGATAGTAGATTTCAAGCATGATGCCAAGTTACTCACTGCTGACTGCTTTACTTTTTGCAATCCTGAAAAATTCTTGCGTACCTTTCAAAGCAGAACGGTTGGTAGGTTTCCCAATGTTACTTTTCAGATGTTTTGTTGACAGGCGTTTCATCTGCCGTGGTGTGCTAGGAGGGGAGGTTCCATATAAAGTTTCAGTATTTGCTTCATCCGATAAGTCTTCAGTATCAGATTCTGATATCTTGCAAGTAGCATCTTCAAACCTGCACTCTTGCCTAAGTATAAGCAATGAAAGAAATTAGGAATTATAGGTTTACAATCCCCATCCCGTCCCAAAAGGGGAGAAAACCCCACCCCAATTTAAATGCTTTCATCTAAGGGTCGTGATCTTTCTGCACCTTTGCCACTCCAGTGAGGTATATAGCAGCTCTCCCAAAGCAGTTTTTTTCCCTACTGTATCACTTTTATGTCTTTGGTTGGAAAACATTGTAGATTGAATTGAATTTTTAAAAAGTGGACCCCTATGATCACTTAACGGGACAAAAATGAGATGTACAATCTGGTAGAATTGCCAGAATTACATCACAAATTGACATATATACATTTGCATCTATTAAAAAATGCAATAGCACAGAGAATTGTGCATATGTGTTGCTAAATACTTAATGCATCTGTAGCAAACTTTTGTCAAATATGCATTGTCATGAAGCGTTATCCCTTACGTATTTGCTTGCAACTACGTGAGTATAAAACGGGCAGAGTTTGCATTGAAACCCCACAGTATGACGGACATTTTATTTATTGGTTCGATTTATATGACACCCTTTTCCAGAGACTCAGGGCGGCTTACAATGTGTTAAGCAATAGCCTTCATACATCTGTATATACCTGCTTAGTAGGGCTTTCGCCCGCCCCCCAGCGGTGTTTTTTTAATACAAAGTCAGCTTATTGCCCCCACAAACCGGGTCCTCATTTTACCTACCTCGAAAGGATGGAAGGCTGAGTCAACCTTGAGCCTGGTGAGATTTGAACTTGCAGTAATTGCAGACAGCTGGTGTTACTTAACAGTGCTTTAGTCTGCTGTGCCACCAAGGCTCTTTCATCATTTGATCCTTCTTTCACCAATTCTGTGCACACCAATGCCACATTAATTGGTGAGCAAACTATTAACAGGCCACTAATTTCTATATACATGCAATGCAGACTTCTTGTCTCGTTGGAGAGAAAAGCAGCAGATACCAACATCTTCTACAAACTTAAGAATGTTTAAGGTATGTTTCTACAGAGAAAAATACATGATTTTTACAACTGAAAAAAATATTATGAAAAACTTGGGGGGGAGGAGGGTTCTATATAAGAACAGTTTTTAAGGAACAGTTTTTACTTACATGAAAGCATTACAAATTTTGAATAACTCCCGTCTCCAGCATCAGAGAACTGCAATTCCCATGTATATCAGTGCTCCTCTAGGAAACCCTCCTACTATATAATATCTACATCAGTCCAGTATCAGGGCCTTACAACTGGTTGCATAGCGACCATTTAGTTACACCAGACCCTTCAAAAGTTACTTAATGACCCCGATTCAAAGTTCTGGCCAGGTACTCCCTCCTGCAATCATGTGACCACATTTTGGGCACTTTGGCAATCAGCCTGCATTTATAGCGTACAAACGCAGCATCCCACGGTCACATAACTATTACTTATGCAGTTTTTAGCCCAAACCATCGTTTATTTCATTTCTGGCAAAAAATGCCACATAGCAAACAATGGTTTTGCTTAATGACCACTGCATTCATTTAGCAAACATTGCATAAAAGGTCTTAAAATCTATTGTGATCATGCGATGACCTTTTTAAACAAGCATTATGACAGGAATATAACTGCGAGCTCACTTACAGTTGTAAATCGAGGACTATCTCTACTTAAATCTAAAGTATCCTAAATATGGCAAGAAAGAAGGTAACAGATCAGGCTCTCCTGGTTCTATGTGAATAGCCTGAAGAAGCATTGCAGAGAGAAGTTATTGAGAGTAAACGTTCTAATATTCAAAAGATTGTCCTTTACATGGAAAAAAATGAGAGACTGGACCTAAGCCAATAAATTCAAAATACCAAAAAGACTATTTTCATTAAACATCTTGAAAAATCTCTTCATTATACTGTTTAATACTGGAATAACATATATCAGAAAACACTGAAATCCCTTTATCTGTTTTCAATGGAAGCAGACTGGTTACTCAGCACAAATGTTATATAATATTTAAACCTCTAGATGGATTGGTATTGGATCACATGAACTTCAAGGACCTTTCAAAGAATACAGGTAGTCCTTGACTTACAACCACAATTGGGCCCAAAATTTTTGTTGCTAAGTGAGACAGTTATTCACTTTGTGACTTTTCTTGCCACTGCTGTTATTAAGTTAGTAACACGGTTGTTAAGTGAATCTGGCTTCCTTATTGACTTTGCTTGTCAGAAGGTCACAAAAGATGGATAACATGACCCCAGGACACTGCGACTGTCATAAATACGAGTCAATTGCTAAGCATCTGAATTCTGATTATGTGACTATGGGTATGCTGCAATGGTCATTTGAGAAAAGCGATAAGACATTTTTTTTCACTGCCATTGTAACTTCTAATGGTCACTAAACAAACTGTTGTAAATAGAGGATTACTTATAGTTCAGTGTAGAAAAACCAGATTTCAAATTATGGAACCTGTTTCCTCATTAAAATGATTTCATGGTAAAAAGCCTTTGGACAAAACCTACTCACGTCCAATTGCAGTCAGCACACATAATACTGGGTTATGTAGAAGAACATTCTGATTCAGTATGAAACGGCTTAATATGTAGTACGGTACATACTTTGCCTCTGAATTGGAGTAGATAGCACAGAAAACTCTTCGGTGCTTTGAAAGAAGGCTACGTGTGAACATCTAGTAGCTCAATCTTTTGTTCTAAAGAATTCAAAACATCGGATAAGACAGTGATTGCTGTCCCTGACATAATGAAGACTTCTTGGAAAAATCCTTAGTACTTTTGTGATGTGATATATGTGCATATGTGTGGGTGTGCATGTGACAAAAGCATGCACACAAGGGTTAGAAATTAAATCAATTTAACTCATAAGAACAAAGATTAATGTCATTTCAGTTTAAATCTCAGACTGTCTTTAGTAGTTTCTAAAATAACAGCCAACACAAGATAATGGCAAAAGTGCTAATAAATATCCATTTCTAAAATACAGCTGCTCCTGTTGTACTGCAACTGACTGAAACTAAAAGAGCTGGTGTTATTGGCTTAGTAGCAGTAAAAAGAAAAACTCATACACAAATGGAATGGTATACTTTTGCTGCTGCACTTCTTGTGGCTATGAGACAAAAGCCTACATTCCATATTCCATATATTTAAATTAAAACAAGATGTTAATTTCTGAGCAACAATACTAGGCTCTCCTACTACAACAAGAGCTATGAAGCTATAAATATTTAGTACATCATACTGAGTAGTTGCAGAATTTTAAACGAGATTAAAATGCAATCAAAATGGGATACAAACAAGGTCTTTACATTTAGTAATATAAATGGCATTAATGCATCTTTCAGTAAAATAATCACCTCAAATTAATAAACTTACAATTTATCCAAGGATCCAATGAAATTATCCAAAAGCAGAATTTCAACAAAAATAAGGAACACTGTATTATGCATCTAACACCCATTAAAAAAAAAACAAATGGAAGGAACAAGAACTATTTAGCTGAAGGAAATACTGCAACAAATGTTTTAAATTACTTATCTTTTGACTGACACAGAGAAAATATTGTTAGTTTGTCTAGAGCTCCTCTGGAATTTTAAATAATTAATTTTGATGATTAAAAGCATAACATTTACTTTTATTTTTAAAATTAAAATATTTTGGGTATTTAGATAAGCATTTGTAATATACCGGTATATCTTTAAATAGTGCTAATTTAGCAAGGAGGAAAAACTCTTTAAGAACCAACTTTAATGTAAACTGGTAAATGACTATAATCCTTGCAAAATATCACAACTGACATTTGAAATATTGTTAAATTTAAGCCAAGAAAAACAGCTAAAAGAGCAAGTTGTTTTATGTATGTGGTAAAAGGAACTGATTTGTAATGTCACCATCTGTCAAACTAATGAATAAAGGAGAAAAATGTACCTCATCCATCATGATAAAATCAGTTCAGAAGTAATAAGAATGTCTAAAGCAAAGCATATCTGCAGCTGAAGAACAGGCTGATCTGGAATAGAAAGATATCAGATCTAAAGGAATTTACCAATTAACCCAGAATGAGAGTAGACATTCAGCAAATTATCTTTTATTCCAAACTTGGCTACTCAACCCAATGCAATGCTAATATCTGCAAGAATGGGAATGACAGTTATTTGGCTTGCATTTTCAAAATTACAGAGCACAAAATGCTCCAACATAACAGTTCAGCCCTGCAAGTATTGTCTCATTTGGTGGTCACTCCCCCTCTATTGGAATTTGGAGGAAGAGACTTTTTCTGGTCCCTATTCCTTAAGAATCTCATCTGAAGGGATCCTGAGATCAGATCTAACCTCTAAGATCCCTATCCCTATTACTTTTGCAAAGCCAATTATGATTTGCCTATTCTGGGGTGCCGTTGGAGGCTGATAGTTTTATTTCTCCTGCTGAGGATAGTATTATGGATGATGTAATGCATGTGGAATGTTAATTAACTACAGTATATTATTTTGCTTATTTGGCTACATTTTTTTTTTAAATTTGATTTATATGCCGCCCTTCTCCGGAGACTCAGGGCGGCTTACAATGCGCTAAGCAATAGCCTTCATTCTTTTGTATATTTATACAAAGTCAGCTTATTGCCCCCACAACTGGGTCCTCAATTTACCTACCTTAGAAAGGATGGAAGGCTGAATCAACCTACATTTAATTTAATGTCCCTCCTATTTAAGGTCTGCAAGCCACAGAGACTCTTTCTCTCTCTATTTCATTGTATGAATTTTTGTGGCTGTTTTCAGTTGAGAGCTGTTTGGATCAAAAGATGTCTAAGTCACTTTAAACTGTTTCTGTTGTTATATATATCCAAATTAACTCCTTGATTAGTCCAAGAAAACTGTGCAATTATAACCTATAGTCAAATATTCTATTTCTTGGAAAAGCATAGCTCCAGATGCATCTTGAATCCATCTCAGTTGGACTTTCAGCCAGAATACAATACTGTAATCTATGCTAGAAACTAAATGTAGGAAGTA